GACGCCTCCTCACAACGTCCAACGGACGTCTCCTCACAACGTCCAAGGGACGTCTCCTACACAACGTCCAAGGGACGTCTCCTACACAACGTCCAACGGACGTCTCCTCACAACGTCCATCGGACGTCTCTACACAACGTCCAACGGACGTCTCTACACAACGTCCAACGGACGGCTCCTACACAACGTCCAACGGACGTCTCTACACAACGTCCAACGGACGTCTCCTACACAACGTCCAACGGACGCCTCCTCACAACGTCCAACGGACGTCTCCTCACAACGTCCAAGGGACGTCTCCTACACAACGTCCAAGGGACGTCTCTACACAACGTCCAACGGACGTCTCCTCACAACGTCCAACGGACGTCTCTACACAACGTCCAACGGACGTCTCTACACAACGTCCAACAGACGTCTCTACACAACGTCCATCAGATGTCTCCTCACAACGTCCAACAGACGTCTCTACACAATGTCCAACGGACGTCTCTACACAACGTCCAACGGACGTCTCTACACAACGTCCAACGGACGTCTCTACACAACGTCCAACGGACGTCTCTACACAACGTCCAACGGACGTCTCTACACAACGTCCAACGGACGTCTCTACACAACGTCCAACGGACGTCTCTAATACAACGTCCAACGGACGTCTCCTACACAACGTCCAACAGACGTCTCTACACAACGTCCATCAGATGTCTCCTCACAACGTCCAACAGACGTCTCTACACAACGTCCAATGGACGTCTCTACACAACGTCCAACGGACGTCTCTAATACAACGTCCAACGGACGTCTCCTACACAACGTCCAACAGACGTCTCTACACAACGTCCATCAGATGTCTCCTCACAACGTCCAACAGACGTCTCTACACAACGTCCAACGGACGTCTCTACACAACGTCCAACGGACGTCTCTACACAACGTCCAACGGACGTCTCCTACACAACGTCCAACGGACGCCTCCTCACAACGTCCAACGGACGTCTCCTCACAACGTCCAAGGGACGTCTCCTACACAACGTCCAAGGGACGTCTCTACACAACGTCCAACGGACGTCTCCTCACAACGTCCAACGGACGTCTCTACACAACGTCCAACGGACGTCTCTACACAACGTCCAACAGACGTCTCTACACAACGTCCATCAGATGTCTCCTCACAACGTCCAACGGACGTCTCTACACAACGTCCAACGGACGTCTCTACACAACGTCCAACGGACGTCTCTACACAACGTCCAACGGACGTCTCTACACAACGTCCAACGGACGTCTCTACACAACGTCCAACGGACGTCTCTACACAACGTCCAACGGACGTCTCTACACAACGTCCACCGGACGTCTCTAATACAACGTCCAACGGACGTCTCCTACACAACGTCCAACAGACGTCTCTACACAACGTCCAACGGACGTCTCTACACAACGTACAACGGACGTCTCTACACAACGTCCAACAGACGTCTCTACACAACGTCCAACGGACGTCTCCTACACAACGTCCAACGGACGTCTCTACACAACGTCCAACGGACGTCTCCTCACAACGTCCAACGGACGTCTCTACACAACGTCCAACAGACGTCTCTACACAACGTCCAACAGACGTCTCTACACAACGTCCAACAGACGTCTCCTACACAACGTCCAACAGACGTCTCTACACAACGTCCAACAGACGTCTCTACACAACGTCCAACAGACGTCTCTACACAACGTCCAACAGACGTCTCCTACACAACGTCCAACGGACGTCTCTACACAACGTCCAACGGACGTCTCTACACAACGTCCAACAGACGTCTCCTACACAACGTCCAACGGACGTCTCTACACAACGTCCAACGGACGTCTCTACACAACGTCCACCGGACGTCTCTACACAACGTCCAACGGACGTCTCTACACAACGTCCAACGGACGTCTCCTACACAACGTCCAACGGACGTCTCTACACAACGTCCAACGGACGTCTCCTCACAACGTCCAACGGATGTCGCTACACAACGTCCAACAGACGTCTCTACACAACGTCCAACGGACGTCTCCACACAACGTCTAACGGACGTCTCTACACAACGTCCAACAGACGTCTCCTACACAACGTCCAACGGACGTCTCCTACACAACGTCCAACGGACGCCTCCTCACAACGTCCAACGGACGTCTCCTCACAACGTCCATCGGACGTCTCTACACAACGTCCAACGGACGTCTCTACACAACGTCCAACGGACGGCTCCTACACAACGTCCATCGGACGTCTCTACACAACGTCCAACGGACGTCTCTACACAACGTCCAACGGACGTCTCCTACACAACGTCCAACGGACGCCTCCTCACAACGTCCAACGGACGTCTCCTCACAACGTCCAAGGGACGTCTCCTACACAACGTCCAAGGGACGTCTCTACACAACGTCCAACGGACGTCTCCTCACAACGTCCAACGGACGTCTCTACACAACGTCCAACGGACGTCTCTACACAACGTCCAACAGACGTCTCTACACAACGTCCATCAGATGTCTCCTCACAACGTCCAACAGACGTCTCTACACAACGTCCAACGGACGTCTCTACACAATGTCCAACGGACGTCTCTACACAACGTCCAACGGACGTCTCTACACAACGTCCAACGGACGTCTCTACACAACGTCCAACGGACGTCTCTACACAACGTCCAACGGACGTCTCTAATACAACGTCCAACGGACGTCTCCCTACACAACGTCCAACAGACGTCTCTACACAACGTCCAACGGACGTCTCTACACAACGTCCAACGGACGTCTCTACACAACGTCCAACAGACGTCTCTACACAACGTCCAACGGACGTCTCCTACACAACGTCCAACGGACGTCTCTACACAACGTCCAACGGACGTCTCCTCACAACGTCCAACGGACGTCTCTACACAACGTCCAACAGACGTCTCTACACAACGTCCAACAGACGTCTCTACACAACGTCCAACAGACGTCTCCTACACAACGTCCAACAGACGTCTCTACACAACGTCCAACAGACGTCTCTACACAACGTCCAACAGACGTCTCTACACAACGTCCAACAGACGTCTCCTACACAACGTCCAACGGACGTCTCTACACAACGTCCAACGGACGTCTCTACACAACGTCCAACAGACGTCTCCTACACAACGTCCAACAGACGTCTCTACACAACGTCCAACGGACGTCTCTACACAACGTCCAACAGACGTCTCTACACAACGTCCAACGGACGTCTCTACCCAACGTCCAACGGACGTCTCCTACACAACGTCCAACGGACGTCTCCTCACAACGTCCAACGGACGTCGCTACACAACGTCCAACAGACGTCTCTACACAACGTCCAACGGACGTCTCCACACAACGTCCAACGGACGTCGCTACACAACGTCCAATGGACGTCTCCACACAACGTCTAACGGACGTCTCTACACAACGTCCAACGGACGTCTCCTCACAACGTCCATCGGACGTCTCTACACAACGTCCAACGGACGTCTCTACACAACGTCCAACGGACGGCTCCTACACAACGTCCAACGGACGTCTCTACACAACGTCCAACGGACGTCTCCTACACAACGTCCAACGGACGCCTCCTCACAACGTCCAACGGACGTCTCCTCACAACGTCCAAGGGACGTCTCCTACACAACGTCCAAGGGACGTCTCTACACAACGTCCAACGGACGTCTCCTCACAACGTCCAACGGACGTCTCTACACAACGTCCAACGGACGTCTCTACACAACGTCCAACAGACGTCTCTACACAACGTCCATCAGATGTCTCCTCACAACGTCCAACAGACGTCTCTACACAATGTCCAACGGACGTCTCTACACAACGTCCAACGGACGTCTCTACACAACGTCCAACGGACGTCTCTACACAACGTCCAACGGACGTCTCTACACAACGTCCAACGGACGTCTCTACACAACGTCCAACGGACGTCTCTACACAACGTCCAACGGACGTCTCTAATACAACGTCCAACGGACGTCTCCTACACAACGTCCAACAGACGTCTCTACACAACGTCCATCAGATGTCTCCTCACAACGTCCAACAGACGTCTCTACACAACGTCCAACGGACGTCTCTACACAACGTCCAACGGACGTCTCTAATACAACGTCCAACGGACGTCTCCTACACAACGTCCAACAGACGTCTCTACACAACGTCCATCAGATGTCTCCTCACAACGTCCAACAGACGTCTCTACACAACGTCCAACGGACGTCTCTACACAACGTCCAACGGACGTCTCTACACAACGTCCAACGGATGTCTCCTACACAACGTCCAACGGACGCCTCCTCACAACGTCCAACGGACGTCTCCTCACAACGTCCAAGGGACGTCTCCTACACAACGTCCAAGGGACGTCTCTACACAACGTCCAACGGACGTCTCCTCACAACGTCCAACGGACGTCTCTACACAACCTCCAACGGACGTCTCTACACAACGTCCAACGGACGTCTCTACCCAACGTCCAACGGACGTCTCCTACACAACGTCCAACGGACGTCTCCTCACAACGTCCAACGGACGTCGCTACACAACGTCCAACAGACGTCTCTACACAACGTCCAACGGACGTCTCCACACAACGTCCAACGGACGTCGCTACACAACGTCCAACGGACGTCTCCACACAACGTCTAACGGACGTCTCTACACAACGTCCAACGGACGTCTCCTCACAACGTCCAACGGACGACTCCTACACAACGTCCAACAGACGTCTCCTACACAACGTCCAACGGACGTCTCCTCACAACGTCCAACAGACGTCTCCTCACAACGTCCAACGGACGTCTCCTACACAACGTCCAATGGACGTCTCTACACAACGTCCAACAGACGTCTCCTCACAACGTCCAACGGACGTCTCCTCACAACGTCCAACAGACGTCTCCTCACAACGTCCAACGGACGTCTCCTACCAGACTCGCGCCTCTTGTCCACCATCTTGCAGTGTTTACATCGGGTCGCGTTTTTTTTAGCAGCATCTTCCTGTGGCGGAAGATTTCTTCCGGAGGAGGAAGTTGTCCACTCGCCTTGGTCTATGAGCGGGCGGGGAGGTCTCTCTATCTTCCGGAAGATGTCTTCCGGAAGAGGAAGGTGTCAACAAGATGTCAACACCACCAACTGCGGTGTTTAAGCGGTGGCGTCTTCCGGAAGATGCATTCGCATTCAATGGCGCCTGCCCTATCTTCCGGAAGATTCTACCGTCCGTTTCTGTGAACCTCTTCCAAGATTGAGCATCATCCGGAAGGGGAAGACGTCACACTGGCCTCAGCCTATAAGCGACGGTAAGAGGAGTCTTCCGCTACTGGAAGATTAATTTGTTGTTTTGGTGGCATCTTCCAGAAGAAGAAGTTACTGCCGTGTTGAATGTCGCCTCGTTTGTCTCTCTCTGCTTCTTCCGGAAGACGTCTACCGGTCCGTCTAACGAACAATTAAATTAAATTCTTGGTTCTTTCGGTAAAGTCACGTAAAAATAATAAAAAAACATTTAAATTTTAAAATAATAAACTGAAAATTATTATTATTTTTCTACGTGACTTTTACCGAAAGAACCAAGAATTTGAATTCCAGCAGTCACGAAAGTTTTAAGTCAAAAATGTTAACTAAAAATTAGTTTAGTTTTAAATAGTTGCTTAGTGTACTAAGGGCAGTTTATTCCAGTGAGCTAAGGGTGTTATCTCGCTATATAAACATAGCTTCTGTGCTCGTCCTAGGACGGAGGCTGTAATATTTACGAAATAATTTAGCAGAGTGTAATTGTATCTTGTCAAAATTTAATGGCAGTGAATCTTGCACAAAAGTAATCATTCTACTCACCTGGTATCGACAAAGGCATTTCCCTGTCCCCAGACGACCTGCTTGTCAGTTTTGATGTGGTGTCCTTGTTCACCAAAGTCCCGGTACCTGACACCATCGCTATCATTGAAGACCTGGTTCATCAAAGACTGCATACTGATGTACCCCCCCTGGTGAGACATTGCTTAACCAACACATACTTCACCTGGAATGGAACTTTCTACAAACAAACTGAGGGCACCCCAATGGGCTCCCCCCTATCTCCGGTTGTAGCCAACGTATTCATGGCAAAATTTGAAACTGACGCCATCCAGACTGCCACTCTACGCCCGACCTTATGGAAGAGGTACGTGGATGACACCTTTGTCATCTGACCACATGGCCAGCCTGCTCTAGACCAATTCCGCGACCACATCAATTCCATACACCCAGCCATCAGATTTACCATGGAGGTCGAAAAAGATGGCAAACTACCCTTTTTGGATGTCTTAATTAAAAGGAGACCTGATGGCTCAATGAGTCACTCTGTCTACAGGAAAGCTACCCATACAGATGCTTACTTGAAACCGGATTCCCACCACCATCCATCCCAGAAGAACTCCCTCATCAAGACTCTATACTTACATTTTGATTTGAAGCTTTCGTGACTGCAGTAATTCATATTCTTAGCTCTTTCGGTAAAGTCACGTTGAAGGGAAACAATAAAATATATATAAAACAATAAAAATTCTCACGACGTTTCGACCATAACACAAACGGTCGTCATCAGGTGTGTCGGTTTGCATTAATTGTTTTATTTTTAAACGGCGCATTTATTTATTATAAAAAATAACGTCAGCGCCACACGCAGCGATTTGGCAGTTTATTTAGAAAGACTAGTCCATCTATGTTCTGAAAAGAGGAGGGGGGAGACGGAAAATTAATGTATGCTGTCTGAAAGACCTGAAACACGGTAGGACCAACACCTCGGCCGTGGCAGATCACTGTTATAATTCAGTAGGCTGACATGACATTGACTTTTCCAAGACAGAGGTTCTTTGTAAGCCATCTGGCTACCATGAGAGATTCGTTCATGAGGCTATCCACATATACAAGCACAGAGACAATTTCAACCGAGAAGATGGATTCTGGCTTAGCAATCGTTGGAAAGATTTGATAAACTTTTTCAGGTCTTAATTGATTGTTCACGCTTACAGTGGCTTTCAGACAGCTCTGATAATATGCACTGTCCTTGAAATTGATTGGTCCACACCCGAGACGGCTTTCTTTAGAGCCCTTTAGTCTCCACTGGTGTTGGACCAGAATACGCCAAAAGGCGTACAAATCAAAAACAGCACACTATCAGAGTATTGAGGGCTCGGGGTGAGCATTTACAAATTCAAGGACAGTGCATATTATTATCAGAGTTGTCTTTTTGTTTGCATTTTGACTGCTTGTGTTGTGGTTATTGCAGACATGATGCCTTGAATAAAGGTGTCAGTTTTTTGTGCCAGTTTAAAAGGTTAAAACCTATTACTATATCTTGTTACTGGCAAAGGAGGTCTCATAACGTGAGTCAACTCACTATATTCAGAGACTCGCAGTGGCTTCCAGGGAAGGAAGACGCTTGACTTTGACGGCAAACACGGTTATTCTAAAACCCAGACATGGCTACGACATGAAGGTGCACAGTTACTGGACCCCAACAGGGTAACCACACACACGGGTCAGGTCAGCGACACACTGCCTGACCCACCATGCCGAGCGTAGCGCCCGAAGACGCAAAAGACTCAGCACCGAGGGTTCCATTCCAGCAGGCGGCCACGATTGCTCTAAGGACCTCTGCTTTGGGGCAGTCCATAAATGACGTCACGCACCTGGGGGGGGGGGGGGTGGGGGGCGGGGTCAGACATTTGTGACGATGCGTGACGAGGTGGGGGAGGGGGCGGGGTTTGAGAAATGTGACGTCACGTCAAATTGCGCAGCTTTATAAATAAATGTAGACAACACGTTCTACTTAATTAAATAGACTTTCATTTTGATTTAAAGCTTTCGTGACTGCAGTAATTCATATTCTTATCTCTTTCGGTAAAGTCACGTTAAAGGGAAACAATAAAATAATAAAATATATTAAAAAAAAATTAAGCAATGTTTATAAAAAAATTAAATATTTTTTGGTATATATAATTTTAGTATTTTATTGTTTCCCTTTAACGCGACTTTAACGAAAGAGCTAAGAATATAAATAGACTTTGTAATAAATGTGTTCTCCTACAACATCAGAGTGCAGCGCCACATTAAATACGCAACTACAATGACAACAGAGCTTTGTGACGTCATATTTGAGGGGGGGGGGGGTCTGACTTTTTGTGACGCCATGTGACGAAGAGGGGGTGGGGGGTCAAAAATCGTCCAAAATCGCGTGACGTCATTTTTTGACGTCCCCTTTATGCTCGGGGGCGTGGCCTCGCTCCGCCCTCGGTCACGCCCCCTTCTGGATCTCACCAGAAGGTTCTCGGCCACTCATCACGTGTCCCTCATACACACCACACACACGCCACACACCGCACACACGCCACACACCACACACACACCACACACACCACCCCACACACACCACAAACACACCACGCACACCGCACACACACCACGCCACACACCACACACACCACGCACACCACACACACCACACACACACCACACACACACCACACCACACACCACACCACACACACACCACACCACACACCACACACACCACAAACACCACACACACCACACACACCACACCACACACCACACACACACCACACACACCACACAAACACCACACACACACCACACGCGTTCATGGGGCACTTACAATCGACATTCGGGGCCTTAAAATGAAACAAAAATCTCGGCTGTTCAAATCTCCCCTGTTGCTTGCGTCCTGAAAGCCACCCCGTGTCGCAAATCTCAGCCCTCTACCTTGTCGGGAAGGACCTGCAGAGGTGTTCGTGAGACACGGACTCAGATTCGTGTTAATTTATAACACAAATTTGTTCTCTTTGCCGAGAGCCTTCCACTCCGGTGGTGTCTCCGTTTGTTGTTGTGGCTTTGTGACGTCATCGTGCCCCCCCCTCCTCCTCCCCCTCTCACCCCCCTTCAGATGGACATCTGTCGACAAAGAGCTTCTTAGCCTTTCGGATTGTATGACGGCGGACTCGGACGCCGTCCGAAATGTGGAGGCAACGGTGGGGGAGGGCGTGGGGGGTGGGCGAGGTCCGGATGGGGGGCCCCGGATTGTTGGGTCGAGGCGACAGTGTGCAACAAAAGGGGAAGTATGGTTCCTGAAACCAACTGGGCAGCTTGCGCAAATCCGCCAAAGACAAAGGTGCCCCGTGTAGCCTCTAACAGACTGCAGGGGCTAGTGCTGTTAGTAGCGAGTAGCAGCAGCACCTGTGAAGGTAGACACAGACAAAGATCCCCCGTGTAGCCTGTAACAGGCTTCAGGGGCAAGTGCTGTTAGCGAGTAGCAGCAGCACCTGTGAAGGTAGACACAGACAAAGATCCCCCGTGTAGCCTCTAACATACTGCAGGGGCAAGTGCTGTTAGTAGCGAGTAGCAGCAGCACCTGTGAAGGTAGACACAGACAAAGGTCCCCCGTGTAGCCTCTAACAGGCTGCAGGGGCAAGTGCTGTTAGCGAGCAGCAGCTATGAAGGCTACCGGCACTGTGGCACACGAGGAGGGGGCGGGCGGCCAGCAACCACGCCCGGCCGCCTTTGTCTCTCCCTAGTGGCGATGTTTACCGCACACCGCTACACCAGGCAACTCATTTGAGGCTGAGTCGACCTAGGGGGGGTGGCAGGGGAGGAGGCTCAGCACCGCTTGTTTCAGACGATCGCTGTCACGTGGCAGGTCGCTGTTGGTGGCCTTCGAACGTGATACCCACTCGGGGCTCTATGGCGGGATTTGTTTTAGCGCAGTGCGCTAACCGCTGCGCCACCGCTCCCCTGCCGACACCGACACAGCCCCCGTGACTCACCCCCCCCCTCCCCCCCCACCGCACTTGGGCGTACGCGCTCCCGCCATACTACTGTGGAATGTGCGCGCACCCCTCCCATCCACCACCGCTCCGAGCAAAACCAGTCGGTTCGCTGTTTGCTTACAACCCCACGCGATAAAATGTACAATAAAGCAATCGTTTCGTTTACAACTTCTCAGTTGTGCAGTGCATATACATGTTGTAATATAGTTGTTATTTAAAATGACAATATAATATCGTGGCTTGCCACGTTCGCCGTTCGACGGTGATTGCGGAGGTGTTTTTGACCTGGTGCTCTTAGCTGCGCGTACTATCTAACGGACTGTGGTATTATATTGTGGTATTGCTTGGTGGTATTGCCTGGTGGTATTGCCTGGTGGTATTGCCTGGTGGTATTGTCTGGTGGTATTGTCTGGTGGTATTGTCTGGTGGTATTGTCCTGGTGGCGTCTTCCGACGTGAGTATCGATCGCTCCTCGCATCCACACGCGAGTTACAGGCATCCTCGCGCTTTCAGATGCTATATACACTATATACTATACTATATACTACGCTATACACTATATACTACACTACACTATACACTACACTACTATACCCTACACTATACACAACACTATACACTACACTATACACTACTATACACTACACTATACACTACACTATATACTACTATACACTACATTATACACGACACTATACACTACTATACACTACACTATACACTACACTATACACTACACTATATACTACACTACTACAGTATACACTACACTATATACTACACTATATACTACACTATACACTACAATATATACGACACTATACACTACACTATACACCACTACTATACACTACACCATACACTACACTATACACTACTATACACTATACTATATACTGCACTATATAATACTATACACTACACTATATACTACACTATACACTACACTATATACTACACTATATACTACACTATACACTACACTATATACTACACTATACACTACACTATATACTACACTACTACACTATACACTACACTATACACTACTATACACTACTATACACTGCACTACACTATACACTATACACTACACTATACACTACACTATAAACAACACTATATACTACACTATACACTACTATACACTACACTATACACTATACTACTATACACTACTATACATTACACTATACACTACACTATACACTACACTATACACTACTATACACTACACTATACACTACACTATATACTACACTATACACGACACTATACACTACACTATACACTACTATACACTACACTATATACTACACTATATACTACACTACACTATACACTACTATACACTACACTATACACTACACTATACACTACTATACACTACACTATACACTCCTATACACTACACTATACACTACACTATATACTACACTACTACACTATACACTACACTATGCACGACACTATATACTACACTATATACTACACCTACACTACACTACTATACACTACACTATACACTGCTAGACACTACACTATATACTCTACACTACACTACTATACACTACACACGACACTACTATACACTATACACTACACTACTATACACTACACTACTATACACTACACTATACACTGCTAGACAATACACTGTATACTCTACACTAGACTACTATGCACTACACTACTATACACTACACTATACACTACACTACTATACACTACACTATAATACACTATACACTACACTATAGACTACACTACTATACACTACATTATACACTACGCTATACACTACTATACACTACACTACTATACACTACACTATACACTGCTAAACACTTCTCTACACTGCACTATACACTACGCTATACACTACACTATATACTACACTATACACTACACTATACACTACACTATATACTACACTACTACACTATACACTACACTATACACGACACTATATACTACACTATACACTACACTATATACTACACTACTACACTATACACTACACTATACACTACACTATATACTACACTCTATACTACACTATACACTACACTATATACTACACTATATACTACACTATACACGACACTATATACTACACTATACACTACACTATACACTGCTAAACACTTCTCTACACTGCACTATACACTACGCTATACACTACGAGACACACTGCTAGACACTGTCCGTTTTTTCCCCGCCACATTTAGAAACAAAAACTGAACCATTTAAATTTTCGCAGGTAAGGCCCCACTTAGCTGTGTGGGTCTTCAGAAGCGACCTGGCTATGGCAAATAATAGCTCAACGAAGTGGCTTATCAAGTGGAAATGTATAGCAGCCAAATACTCTACATCCATAACGTTGATTCTCTGAGACCGCCGCTCCCGCCAAGGTGACCGGGCGTTATCGCTCCAGAAACCCACAGCCGCTGTACGCTCATCCCGAGTCCGTCCCGATCGACCGGCCGCCACCAATCCTACAAGGGGCATCATCGCCGTAACAGGAAGCCGTACCTACACGTTCACCCTGAGCCCACCGCTGCCACCAATCCTACAAGGGGCATCATCGCCGTAACAGGAAGCCGTACCTACACGTTCACCCTGAGCCCACCGCTGCCACCAATCCTACAAGGGGCATCATCGCCGTAACAGGAAAGGCCAGATTAACACGTAGGAGGCTTTCGCGACCAATATTATTCATAATAAAGGTTTTTGGGTTAGATCGCGTTTATTTATAAATGTGACGTAACCCTCCACCACCCGACACGGCCAATCAGCAAAATAAAGTGTCACGTTTACAAAAGACAAATAATTCACTACTTTAGCCCACCGGTGTGTTGAAGAGTGAATCCACAACATTTACAGTTTGAGTAGTACTGTGACGTTTCGCTGGTAATTACATCCAGCATCATCGGGCAATTCGCCAGAATGGTAAAGCCCTCACTTGCTCCCGGTCTTAAATAGAGCAGCAGCAGGGTGACATCATCACTTAACTCATTTCAGGTGCAGTAATTATATAATAGATTGGTAATCAGTCAATGGTTATGATTAGTAATGAGTTGTAGATTAGTAATTATTTGTAATGTGTGTTATTGTGATTATATGCTACGTTAGTAATCCGTTAATTAGTATGTGTTTCTCCTATAAGGAATTGTAATATGTATTATTTAATAATACACTTCCAAGCCGCACTAAGCCTGTAGCTGTCAGAGCGATTAAAGTTATTTCTATTCCTCTCAATTTCAATGGATTCTCTAATTAGTCTTTGCCAGTAATAATTAGTTTTACACAACATTTCAACGTTATCAAAATCAATTGAGTGTCCTTGTTGGCAAGCATGTTCTGCCACTGCCGACAGTTGTGTTTGAGATCATTTAATATTTCTCTGATGTTCTTTTAGTCTTACACTGATGTTACGTCCCATCTGTCCAATGTAGCAGCTGCCACATAAACAATTAATCCGATATACACCTTCTGTTGATAATTTAGGTAATGCGTCTTTAGTGCAAGATACTAGTTTTTGAATTTTGAAGACTGTACCAAATCTTACTGTCATGTTTTGCTTTTGCAAAACACGGGCTAATTTGTCAGTTACTCCTGAGATATATGGAATTTTTATTGTTTTAACAATCTGATCGCTTTCAGCAGTGTTGCTTTGCGATCGTGATTTGGCATTCAGTGCTCTGTTAATTTGAGCATTGTTGTAGCCATTCTGTCGTAGTGCGTCTTTAACGTGTTTGATCTCTCTCACTAGACTCTCACCATCTGACACTGTTTTAGCCCGATGTATGAGCGTCTTGATAAGAGAGAATTTCTGAACTGGATGATGATGATGATGATGATGCGAATCTGCATTCAGATAGGCATCAGTGTGCGTTTGCTTGCTGTAAACGCTGTGTGTTATTTTACCGTTTAGGCCATGTCCGAGCAAAACATCTAGGAACGGGAGTGTGTCGTTCACCGCCGTGCCCTCGAGCCTACGATGGCAACCAACGCCACCGCCGCCGAAGGCGTCGCCGGCGTCGAGGAAGCGGCGTGCGACGTGGACCCCGTGACCAAGCGGGCGGTGTACGCAGGTGTCTACGGCGCGGTGTTCGTCCTGGGCCTGCTCGGGAACTCGGTGGCGCTCTACGCGTTCACGTGCGGACGCCACCGCCGCCGCCGCGGCCGCCGCGGCCCTGGGGGTCGCAAGGCCACGGCGAGCACCGTCATCCTGGCCAACCTGGCCGTCGCCGACCTCCTCTTCGTGCTCATGCTGCCGCTGCGCATTCACTACAACGCACGGGGTACGGCGGCGGCGGTGGTGGGGGCGGTGGTCGGTGTTAACGTTAACACCGTACACTACATTATACATTACACTATACACTACACTATACACTACACTATACACTACACTATACACTACACTATACACTACACTATACACTACACTATACACTACACTATACACTACACTATACACTACACTATACACTACACTATACACTACATTATACACTACATTATGCACTACATTATACACTACACTATACACTACACTATACACTACACTATACACTACATTATACACTACATTATATACTACACTACAATATATACTACACTAAACACTACACTATACACTACATTATACACTACATTATGCACTACATTATACACTACACTATACACTACACTATACACTACACTATACGCTACATTATACACTACATTATGCACTACATTATACACTACATTATACACTACACTATACACTACACTAAACACTACACTATACACTACATTATACACTACATTATGCACTACATTATACACTACACTATACACTACACTATACACTACACTATACACTACACTATACACTAGATACTACACTATGCACTACTATACACTATACTATACACTACAATACACTACAATATACACTACATTATACACTACACTACACACTACACTACACACTACACTATACACTACACTCTACACTACACTATACACTACACTATACACTACACTATACACTACACTATACACTACACTATAAGATACACTACACTATACACTACACTATACACTACAATATATACTACACTATACACTACACTATACACTACAATACATACTACACAATACACTACACTACACACTACAATATATACTACACTATACACTACACTATACACTACTATACACTCCAATATACACTACACTATACACTACACTATACTTTACTACACTACATTATACACTACATTATACACTACACTACACACTACACTATACACTACACTATACACTACATTATACACTACACTACACTATACACTACACTATACACTACACTATACTTTACTACACTACACTATACACTACACTATACACTACACTATACATTACACTATACACTACATTATACACTACACTATACACTACACTATACACTACACTATACACTACTATACACTACAATATACACTACAATATACACTATACACTACACTCTACACTACACTAAACACTCCACTATACACTACTATACACTATACTTTACTACACTATACACTACACTATACACTACACTATACACTACACTACACACTACAATATACACTATACACTACACTATACACTACACTACATACTACAATATACACTATACACTACACTACACACTACAATATACACTACACTATACACTACACTATACACTACACTATACACTACACTATACTTTACTACACTATATTACGCACTACATTATACACTATACACTACACACTATACACTACACTATACACTACACTACACACTACAATATACACTACACTACACACTATACACTACACTATACACTACACTACACACTACAATATACACTACACTACACACTATACACTACACTATACACTACACTATTGGCTGGCCATTGAACAATGACAGTCCACTGCATCGTGTGGCGCTTTCAGAAGTGCTGCATCTGCGGCCGTCTGGAACGCTCTTCCCTCTGATGTTAGGAATCCGCCTGCAGCTACGGCCACTCTAAAATCATCATCATCATCATGTAGACTGACAAACTCATTTATTTACACCTGCTGCTGCTAGTGCTCGTTGTTGTCTAAATCATCTTCTTGGTTATTTCGATAGTAAAGTCATGTGGACTGTGAGCACGATAATAAAGGCAGCGCGGTTGGCTACGTGCGGTGCGTTCAGCACAACGCGCAGCTGTACGGCGATTCCTCTAAACCATTTGACACTTCACCAGGTGAGGCCTCCCTGAGATGCCGGCGTAGCTGCTTCTCACAGTGACAGCTCGCTGGCTCGCTCGCTCGCACGACGAAGAGTCTCACCGCCGCCATCCACATCACCACGGGGACGTGTGGAGCAGCAGCGATGACGACGACGATGACGACGACGATGACGACAATGACGATGACGATGATGACGACGATGACGATGACGACGATGATGACAATGACGATGATGACGATGACGATGACGACGATGACGACAATGACGATGACGATGATGACGACGATGACGATGACGACGATGACGACAATGACGATGACGATGATGACGACGACGACGACGATGATGACGATGACGACGATGACGATGACGACGATGACGACGATGACGACGATGACGATGACGACGATGACGACAATGACGATGACGACGATGACGACGATGACGATGACGACGATGACGACGATGACGACAATGACGATGATGACTATGACGACGATGACGACGACGACGACAATGATGATGATAACGACGATGACGATGATGACGATGACGACGATGACGATGATGACGATGATGACGATGACGACGATGATGACGATGACGACAATGCCGACGATGATGATGACGACGATGATGACGACGACGATGATGACGATGATGATGACGATGATGATGACGACGATGATGACGATGACAACGATGACGATGACAACGATGACGACGATGACGACGATGACGACGATGATGACGACGACGATGACGACGATGATGACAACGATGACAATGATGACGACGACGATGATGATGACGATGATGATGATGACGACGATGACGACAATGACGACGATGATGATGACGAGCCACTTCGCTGAGCTGTCATTCGTGACAGCTGCGGTCGCGGGCAACAAAAATCCGCCAGCTTGCGATGCGAGCGTGCGTCCACGCTCAGTCTCCACTCCTCCTCCTCCACTCCTCCTCCACTCCACCTCCTCCTCCACTCCTCCTCCTCGTCCACTCCTCGTCCACTCCTCCTCGTCCACTCCTCCTCCACTCCTCCACTCCTCCTCCTCGTCCACTCCTCCTCCTCGTCCACTCCTCCTCCACTCCTCCTCCTCCTCCACTCCCTCCTCCTCTTCCACTCCTCCTCCTCCTCTTCCACTCCCTCCTCCTCTTCCACTCCCTCCTCCTCTTCCACTCCCTCCTCCTCTTCCACTCCTCCTCCTCGTCCACTCCTCCTCCTCCACTCCTCCTCCTCCACTCCTCCTCCTCCACTCCTCCTCCTCCTCCACTCCTCCTCCTCCTCCTCCACTCCTCCTCCACTCCTCCTCCTCCTCCTCCACTCCTCCTCCTCCACTCCTCCTCCTCCTCCTCCTCCACTCCTCCTCCTCCACTCCTCCTCCTCCTCCACTCCTCCTCCTCCACTCCTCCTCCTCCACTCCACCTCCTCGTCCACTCCTCCTCCACTCCTCCTCCTCCACTCCTCCTCCTCCTCCTCCACTCCTCCTCCTCCACTCCTCCTCCTCCACTCCACCTCCTCGTCCACTCCTCCTCCACTCCTCCTCCTCCACTCCTCCTCCTCCACTCCTCCTCCACTCCTCCTCCTCGTCCACTCCTCCTCCACTCCTCCTCCTCCACTCCTCCTCCTCCACTCCTCCTCCTCCACTCCTCCTCCTCCACTCCTCCTCCTCCACTCCACCTCCTCGTCCACTCCTCCTCCACTCCTCCTCCTCCACTCCTCCTCCTCCACTCCTCCTCCTCGTCCACTCCTCGTCCATTCCTCCTCCACTCCTCCTCCACTCCTCCTCCACTCCTCCTCCTCCACTCCTCCTCCTCCTCCACTCCTCTTCCTCCTCTTCCTCCTCCTCCACTCCTCCTCCACTCCTCCTGATCCCTCCTCGGCCCACCCCAGGCGGCGAGTGGGTGTTTGGGGACGCGTTGTGCCGCATGGCCTCCTACGCCTTCTACGTGAACCTCTACGGCAGCATCCTCCTGCTCACGGCGCTCAGCGTCACGAGATTCATCTCCATCGTCGTGCCCCGCCGCTCGCTCTGCCGAAGCAGACGCAAGGTGTGTGGTGTGTGTGGTGTGTGTGTGTGGTGTATGTGGTGTATGTGGTGTGTTGATGTGTGTGGTGTGTGTGGTGTGTGTGTGTGGTGTATGTGGTGTATGTGGTGTGTTGATGTGTGTGGTGTGTGTGGTGTGTGTGTGTGGTGTATGCGGTGTGTTGATGTGTGTGGTGTGTGTTGATGTGTGTGTCTGTGTATGGTGTGTGCCTGTGTGTGTGCCTGTGTGTGGTGTGTTGATGTGTGTGGTGTGTGTTGATGTGTGTGTGTGCCTGTGTGTGGTGTGTGTTGATGTGTGTGTGGTGTGTGTGTTGATGTGTGTGTGTGTGAACACGTAGTTCGTGAAGCCTTCAACACCTGCCTGGGTATTTTGTACCATCGGACACTCCACCCCCACAACTCCCAATCGGTGATGGGGCAGTTGTGGAGAGAGTGGAGAGTTTCCCATACCTGGGCAGAGGTCTCACTCCGAATCAGTCGAGCGGCAATATCTTTTCATCGGTTGCGTAACGCTGTGTGGAAGCTACCTGGTCTGTCGCTCCGCACTAAGCTTCAGGTCTTCTCGGCCACGGTCATTCCCTCCCTTCTCTACGCTTGCGAAACGTGGACCCCCCTAATGGAACATCTTCACCGGTTAGAAACATTTAGGCTGGCCTGCCTACGATCCATCCTGGGTTTAACCAGACTGGATTGTGGGAGGAGCTCAAAAATCCTAGAAAGATCTGGGCAAGGTCCCATCGGTGAGCTCCTCCGGCGGGGAAGGCTGCGATGGCTGGGTCATGTAGCCCGCATGCCCAGCCACCACATGCCGAAACAGCTTTTGTTCGGCCGGATTGAGGGGGCTAAGCGGGCGCGGCACGGGCTAGAGAAGAGATGGAGTGATGTGGTAGAGGAGGACGTGGAGCTGAGTGGACTTGCCGATGACTGGTACCAGTGGTGTCAAGATCGGCCTCTGTGGAGGAGGCTCGTGAAGGATGCTACTGGGCAGTTGGAGGCAGTCGCCCTCCAACAACAACGGAGGGCGGAGGAGCGACGCTCAGAACAATGAGCGGAGCGCCGGGTGGCTAAAGCACAGCAGGTTGGCACAGTAGGGGGCACAGGCGGTGCATCAGCCAGTCATCTCAGTCAGTCGACCCGTGGCACCTGGGTCTGCCCCGTGACCTCCTGCCAGCGGGCGTTCGACACTTCACGTGGCCTCAGGGTGCACATGGCCTGGCACAAGCGTCGTGGTGACGTCACCGCCACTTAGTGGCGAATGGCGGTTGTTGTTGTTGTGTGTTGATGTGTGCCTGTGTGTGTGGTGTGTGTGTGTTGATGTGTGGTGTGTGTGTTCATGTGTGTGTGTGTGGTGTGTGTGCCTGTGTGTGTGGTGTGTGTGTGCCTGTGTGTGTGGTGTGTGTGTGTTGATGTGTGTGTGTGCCTGTGTGTGTGGTGATGTGCCTGTGTGCCTGTGTGTGTGTGTGTGTTGATGTGTGCCTGTGTGTGTTGATGTGTGTCGGTGTGCCTGTTCGGCAAAACAGCCCCCGACCTCATACTCTTTGGGTCTTACGGTAAAGTCACGTAAATATTTTCTTTAACCCAAAGAGTATGAATTCCTGCAGTCACGAAAGCTTCAAGTGAAGACCGCCTCCCTCCTCGTCGGTGCCGGACAGCAACGCTGTGGTGGGCGGCGCCGTGAGGGGAGGGCCAATTCAGATTGGCCCTTCCCCTTATGGCGTTTGCAGCCACCACAGTCGCAAAAGGGGCCTCTGGACGGGCTGCGAGGGGCTGGTAACCCCTCCACCTTCAAATAAATTACCATTATACTCCGAAAAAAAGTATTAAACGAAGCTTGTGCCGGAGGCCCCGGGGGGGACAGGCGTCTATGTCGTCTCCTGGCCAAACCCCATTTGGCGGAGCCAGGAGACTGAATCCTTACCCTCGGGGCTCCTCCAGAAGCAGCAAAAAGCCACTGCGGATGGCCACGTGGAATGCTCGAATGCTCACAGAGGAGGAGAAGTTGCCACTCCTTTGTCGGGAGCTGAACCGGTACCGCCTGGATCTCTGTGGTATTCAGGAGGTCCGGTGGACTGGCTCTGGCTCCGGCCACCAAGAGGGGTGGACAGTCCTCTACTCGGGGCAGCAGACTGCCAAACAACAGGGTGCGGCTCTTCTTCTGAACAAAAGAATGAAGGGGGCGTGGGAGCGTGGCGGTGAGGTGTGGGAAGCTGTAAGCCCCAGGCTACTTTGAGCTCGCCTTCCCATCAACCAGAGGCAAGGAGTGGTGGTCGTGGTTATTTATGCCCCCACCGAAGATGAACATCAGTGGAGGGATGCAGGCAAGGCTGATGAGTCCGATGCCTCATATGACCTCCTGTCACAGGTGCTGGCTAAAGTGGCCCCTCAGGATATAGTCATCCTGTTGGGGGACTTTAATGCCCGAGTTGGTCATGATGCTGGCACCTGATCTGGAGTGATTGAAAGGCATGGGCCAGATCAGCTCAATAACAACGGTAGGAGGCTGCTAGACTTTTGTGAAGCCTATGGGCTTGTAATTACCAACACGCTGTTCCGGCATTGGCGCATCCACACAACATCATGGATGCATGCTGGGTCCAAGCAAGAACATCTGCTGGACTACATAGTGACGGAACAGCGGATGCGGGCCCATGTCCTTGACAGGAGGACCTACCATGGAGCTGATCTGTCCACTGACCATCGACTTGTCATCTGTAAGATGCGCCTGCCATTCTTCCACTCCGGTGGTGGGTGTACACCCAGGACCCCATTAAAACCCATAGTGGCCTGGTCTCACCTAGGGGTTGGCATCGTCTCCCATTCTTCCTGATGTCAAGGGGAAATGGGCCAGGTTTAGGACTGTGACTCATGCAGCTGCAATGGCTGCATTGGCTACACAGTCCAGACCTCCCCAGAGACTCTGGCTAATAGAGGAGGTGTTCAGGATGGTTGAGAAAAAGCGACAGGCCCACTGTCATCGGCTACAGAATCCCACGTCAGAGAATGAGGAGGTGTACCGCAGTCCTTGCTTGGAGGTTCGGAGAGCCGTGAGGCGCTGCGAGGTTGGGCGGTGGTCACGGGTTGCTGAGGAGATGGAGTCTGCCTCAATGGCCCGCGATCACATTTAACTATTTAATTACATCAACAAAAAGTAACTTTCAGCGCCTCGTTTATCACCATCCTTAAGTGAAAGAACGGTGATCCAATCTCCGACCCCCAGGAACAGGTTTTCAGATTTGCTGAGCATTTCTGTGGGGTCCTGGGGGAGGGGAAATCCCTCCGCCAGGAAAACATCGTGGGACAAAGTGGGGATGACCCTGCTGAGGCTGCAGTGCCTCAAATATTGGAAGAAGTCACCCCCTGTGAGTGGCTGGCTGAGGTGCCATCTGTTGAGGAAGTACTGAAGGGGATCCAGAGTCTGAGACCAGGAAAAGCACTGGGCAGAGATGAGCTCTCAGGCGCAATGCTGAGGGAGGGTGGCGTTGTGCACAGACTGCCCTATATGACATCATAACAACAGTCTGGACCACTGTACGGGTTCCGCAGGATTGGAAGGATGCCCTGGTGGTCCCCCTCTTTCAGAAGGGGGACCGCACAGACTGTAACAACTACAGGGGCATCTCACTCCTCAGTGTGCCGGGAAAGGTCCTGGTAAGGAATATTCAACATCGCCTTGCCAGGCACACTGAGGAGATGCTTGCAGAGCCCCAATGTGCTTTCAGAAAAGGGCGGTTCTGCACAAATGCCATATTTTCTGTCCATTCCTACAGGGCCTACATCTCTGCTTTATTTACCTGGCCAAGGACTATGATACCATCAGTAGGTCTGAGCTCTGGGTTGTTCTTCGTGCTTTCTGAGTCCCTGACTCTCTGCTCACAATCATTAAGGACCTTCATGATTTTATTATGAGACCTCTTTTGCCAGTAACAAGATATAGTAATAGGTTTTACCCTTTTAACTGGCACAAAAACTGACACCTTTATTCAAGGCATCGTGTTTGCAAGAACCACAACACAAGCAGTCAAAATGCAAACAAAAGAGACAACTCTGATAATAATATGCACTGTCTTTGAAATTGATTGGTCCACACCTGAGACGGCTTTTCTTAGAGCCTAGTCTTCTCTGGTGTTGGACCAGAGACGCCAAAAGGCATACAACTCAAAAACAGCGCACTATCAGAGTACTGAGGGCTCGGGTGTGGACGAATAAAATTCAAGGACAGTGCATATTATTATCAGAGTTGTCTCTTTTGTTTGCATTTTGACTGCTTGTGTTGTGGTTATTGCAAACATGATGCCTTGAATAAAGGTGTCAGTTTTTGTGCCAGTTAAAAGGGTAAAACCTATTACTAGACCTTCATAATGGTGAGCGGGCCCGGGTAAAACTACGTGGCCGGGAGTCGGAGCCATTCCTTGTACACCTTGGAGTGCGACAGGGATGTCCTCTGACTCCCACATTATTTAACATCTATTTCGACTATGTAGTCCGTGAAGCCTTCGATGGCTGTACAGATACAATGGGAGGCTGATCGATACCCAGGTGCGGTCAAGGGATGGCTCCCTATTGGTCAACCACGTTATGTATGCCGATGATCTGGTGATTGCTGCTCAGTCAGATGAGGAGTTGGAGGTGCTGTTGCAGCCCCACCAAAACTAAGCACCGGCCTGGGTATTTTGTACCATCGGACACTCCACCCCCACAACTCCCAATCGGTGATGGGGCAGTTGTGGAGAGAGTGGAGAGTTTCCCATACCTGGGCAGTGTGCTTATGACCGAGGTCTCACTCCGAATCAGTCGAGTGGCATTATCTTTACATCGGCTGCGGAACGCTGTGTGGAAGCTTCCTGGTCTGTCGCTCCACGCAAAACTTTGGGTCTTCTCGGTCACGGTCATGCCCTCCTTTCTCTATGCTTGCGAAAGTTTAAAGATCTGGATAAAGTCCCATCAGTGAGCTCCTTCGGCAGGCAAGGCTGCATTGGCTGAGTCATTTAGCCCGCATGCCCAGCCACCGCATGCCTAAACAACTTTTGTTTGGCCAAATAGAGGGGGCTAAACCGGCGCGGCACGGGATAAAGAAGAGATTGAGTGACGTGGTACAGGACGTGGAGCTGAGTGGACTTGCCGATGACTGGTACCAGCGGTGTAAAAATCGGCCTCTGTGGAGGAGGCTCGTGAAGGATGCTACTGGGCAGTTGGAGGCAGTCGCCCTCCAACAACAACAGAGGGCGGAGGAGCGACGCTCACAACAACGAGCGGAGCGCCGAGTGGCTAAAGCACAGCAAATTGGCACAGTAGGGGGCACAGGTGGTGCATCGGCCAGTCACCTCAGTCAACCCATGGCACCTTGCTGGGTCTGTCCCGTGGCCTCCTGTCAGCAGCGAGCCTTTAACACTTCACGTGGCCTCAAACGTGCATCTGGCCTGGCACAGGCGATCTGGTGACGTCACCGTCACCTAATATTGGTCTTCATCCGGTAGTGTAGCAGTTAGCGCCCTGCGATACAAAACCAGCAGCCTGAGTTCAATTCCCTCTCACGGCCAACACAAGTGACGTTTGCATGAACCAGTCCTGGGCATCCTCCGCAAGGTTCGACTCGCTTTAGTGTCTGGTGTGGTGCAGAAACATCGTCGCAGGGGAGACAAAGGCGGCCGGGCGTGGTATTTGCCACTCACCTCCTCGTCCGCCACAGTGTTAGCCTTCATACGTGATGCTGCCATCATCATCATCATCATCGTGAACTTGCTGAACTTCGTTTGCACCCTACGTCGCCAACCGCGCTAATCGGACGTGCGGACCGAGCCAATTGTCATCATCGTGTGACGCCGGTGCCAAGGCGCCACGGGTCGACTGGCTTGAGATGACCGGCAAGACGCACCCACCTGCCACTGTGACAACCACCACCCTCGCCACCCTCGCCCACCCTCGCCCACCCAGGCGCGAGCGGTGAAGGTGTGCGTCTGCATCTGGGTTCTCGTCTCTATCCTCACGACGCCGTTCCTCACGATGGGGCAGCAGCGGCAGCAGCAGCCCGGGCAGCAGGGTGGCCGGGTCACGTGCTTCGAGTTGAACCCGAAGGGGCAGTCCCTGGCACTCCTGATGGCCATGAACTACGTGGCGCTCGTCATCGGATTCCTGCTGCCCTTCCTCACCATCGCCGTGTGCTACGTGTGCATACTACGGTGAGATTAGCGAGCGAGGCGGGACGCGGGGAAAGTCACCCGCTCGCTCACTCGTTCACCCACTGATTCACCCACCCACTCATTCACCCACCTACCCACTCATTCACCCACCCACTGATTCACCCATCCACCCACTAATTCACCTACCCACCCATTTACCCACGCACCCACTCATTCACCCACCCACTCACTCATCCACCCACCCACTCATTCACCCACCCATCCACTCATTCACCCACCCACTCACTCATTCACCCACTCATTCATCCACCCACTCATTCACCCACCCATCCACTCATTCACCCACCCACCCACCCACTCACTCATTCACCCACCCATCCACTCATTCACCCACCCACCTACTCATTCACCAAATGACCCACTCACTCAGCGTGTGCTATTCGTGCCTCCTGCGGTGAGATAGCCAGCACGGTGGAAAGTGTGGGCAGGGAGGAGGGGGGGTATCTCGCCCACTCCATGCAGGACTGCCCTGGTCTGAAACCGCATTGAGGCCACGCAAGCCTCTCCTCAGCGTGCCTGGCAAGGCGATGTTGAATAATCCTTGCCAGGAGCTTTCCCAGCACTCTGAGGAGTGAGATGCCCCTGTAGTTGTTACAGTCTATGCGGTCCCCCTTCTTAAAGAGGGAGACCACCAGGGCATCCTTCCAATCCTGCAGAACCCGTCCAGTGGTCGTGACTTGTTATGATTTCACGTAGGGCAGTCTGTGCACAAACGCCACCCTCCCTCAGCATATCGCCTGGGAGATCATCTCTGCCCGGTGCCTTTCCTGGTCTCAGACTCCGGATCGCCCTCAGTACTTCCTCAACAGAGGGCACCTCAAGCCAACCACTCACAGGGGGTGGCGACTTCTGACAATATTTGAGGCACCGCAGCCCTAGCAGGGTCGTCCTCACCTTGCCCCGCGATGTTGTCTGGGCCGAGGGAATTCCTCTCCCCCAGGACCTCACAGAAATGCTCTGCAAACCTGCAGACCTTTTCCTGGGGGTCGGAGATGGGATTACCGTTCTTTCCCTTAAGGATGGTAATGGGTGAGTTGCTGCAAGTGACCTTTGTAATGGAATTAAATAGTGATTTGTGATTGTGGGCTACTGAGGCAGATTCCATCTCCTCAGCAAGCCGCGCCCACCACTCATCCTTGCAGCGCCGCACGGCTCTCCGAATCTCCGAGCGAAGGCTGCGGTAAGCCTCCTCATTCTCTGATGTTAGATGTTGTAGACGATGCGAGTGGGCCTGTCGCTTTCTCTCAACCAGCCAGAACACCTCCTCCTTCAGCCAGGGTCTTTGGGGAGGTCTAGACCGCATATCCATTGTAGCTGTATGAGTTAAGGTCCTGAACCTCAACCATTTCCTCTTAGCATGAGGGGCGAACAATGCTAACCCCAGCTGCAAGCGATGTTGACATTCCTGCTTGCAACTATCCTCAGCTAGCCACTGTATGTTTTAATGGGGTCCTAGACGGACACCCACCACCGGAGTGGAAGAATGGCCGGCGCATCTTACAGATGACAAGTCGATGGTCAGTGGCCAGATAAGCTCCACGGTAGGTCCTGGTGTCAAAGACATGGGCCCGCATCCACTGGTCTGTAATTATAGTGGAGCAGATGTTCTTGCTTTGACCTGGCGTGCATCCATGATGTTGTGTGGATGTGCCGATGTCGGAGCAGCATGTTGGTTATTACAATCCCACGGGCTGCACAACAATCTAGCAGCCTCCTACCGTTGTTAATGAGCTGATCTGGCCCATGCCTTACGATCTCTCCAACCCAGGCATCTGCGTCACGACCCACTCGGGCATTAACGTAACTTAACAGGGTGACTCTATCCCGAGGGGCCACTTTAGCCAGCACCTGGGACAGGAGGTCATAGAAGGCATCTGACTCATCGGCTTTGCCTGAATCCCTCCACTGATGTTCATCTTCGGTGGGGGTGTAAGCAACCACCACCATGACCATTCCTTGCGTCTCGTTGATAGGGAGGTGAGCCCACATGAGCCTGGGCCTTAAAGCTTCCCACACCTCACCGCCACGCTCCCAAACCCCTTGCTTTTGTTCAACAGAAGTGCCACTCCCTGAAGTTTGGTAGTTTCCTACCCCGAGTGGAGAACTGTCCACCCCTCACGACCGGAGCCAGAACTGGTCCACCGGACCACCTGTATTCCACAAAGCTCCGGGCGGTACCAATCCATCTCCCGACAGACAAGTGGCAGCCTCTCCTCCGCAACGAGAGTCCGAACATTACACATGGCCAATCTCAGTGTTCTCATGTCCCTGGCTTTGCCAGATGGAGTTTGGACAGGAGTCATGAACGCCTGCCCCGCTGGTCTCTAGCACGGTGCTTATTTTGGCGTTTCCACCGTGGTACTTCGCGGAAAAAAGTGGCAGGTGGAGGAGTTACCAGCCCCTCCCACTCACTCAGTCATCCACTCACTCATCCACCGACTCACTCATCCACTCACTCACCCACACACTCACTCACCCACACACTCACCCATCTACTCACACCCACACACTCACCCACCCACTCATCCACTCACCCACACACTCACTCACCCATCCACTCACCCACCCACCCACTCACCCACCCACACACTCATCCACCCACTTCAAATGAGACTCCTCCATCCCTTCTCTCTTGATTCCCCGCCTGGTCACACATCACGAAGCTGGCCACGGCCGACTCCTCCCGTGACCTCCGTCTCTCGTTTGCAGGACCCTGCTGAAAATGGACAAAAACACAAAGGCCAGCAGGTACGGAGCGCACCAAATGGGCCCCACAGCCAAGATCCGTGGGCCATTTGACCTAGATTCGTGGGGCCCACAGCCGAGATCCGTGGGGCCCACAGCCGAGATCCGTGGGCCCACAGCCGAGATCCGTGGGGCCTACAGCCAAGATCTGTGGGCCATTTGGCCTAGATTCGTGAGGCCCACAGCAGAGATCCATGGGCCCTTTAGCCTAGATTCGTGGGGCCTACAGCCGAGATCCGTGGGGCCCACAGCCGAGATCCCTGGGCCATTTGGCCTAGATTCGTGAGGCCCACAGCCTTTTCAGGAACAAAACAAATAACTGGCGACGTTTGGGGCAATGGGCCTTCTTTATGGTGGGTTATCAGGTGGAGGCTGCCTCTGGTTACGACGACGTGGGCCCGTTGAGAAGCCCAGGGGTTTTGTGATGACCGCGTTGAGTAAACGGGCGTGCGAGTCATGTCGTATTGTATAGTGTAATGTGTAGTGTAGTATGTATTGTAGTGTTTATAAAGACGAGTAAACTTCTTAGGAGGCACACTCTGTTTATTGTAATTCCTTTTCCATACAGTCCTTAACACACAGAGGGGTATATGGTCCCCTCACCCGATACCTGAAGGAGGTATAGCCTCCGGACTTAGCGTAACCTACACACAGGTCTCTTGCTACCTGAGGTGGTACTTAGCGTGACCTACACACAGGTCTCTTGATACCTGAGGTGGTACTTAGCGTGACCTACACACAGGTCTCTTGATACCTAAGGAGGTACAGCCTCCTAGCTTGTGGGGACCTACACACAGGTCCCTTGATACCTAAGGAGGTACAGCCTCTGGACTTAGCGTGACCTACACACAGGTCTCTTGATACCTAAAGAGGTACAGCCTCCGGACTTAGCGTGACCTACACACAGGTCTCTTGATACCTAAGGAGGTACAGCCTCCGGACTTAGCGTGACCTACACACAGGTCTCTTGATACCTAAGGAGGTACAGCCTCCTAGCTTGTGGGGACCTACACACAGGTCCCTTGATACCTAAGGAGGTACAGCCTCTGGACTTAGCGTGACCTACACACAGGTCTCTTGATACCTAAAGAGGTACAGCCTACGGACTTAGCGTGACCTACACACAGGTCTCTTGATACCTAAGGAGGCACTTAGCGTGACCTACACACAGGTCTCTTGATACCTAAGGAGGTACAGCCTCAATCCTGGCGGGACTTACTCTCAGGTCTACCGCTATCCCAGAGTCCTCCGGCTGGGACCTAGGGGAGGCTATCTGACCCACCGCGGGCCCGGCGGGTCTTGACCACTGGATACGCCGAGCCTTAGCCCTCAGAAGGGCTGGAAGGCTGGGTCCAGGGTCCTGGCTATCTTCAGCCCGGGCTTCGGTCTCCGTGTAGGGAGAGAACTCCCCGCCGCGCTCTGCGCGGTCACCCTTCTCATACCCGTTTGTGGCCAGGTGTAACCAATCACACACTCACACGTGGCACCGTCTGATTGGTTCTCCCCAAACCGTGTCTACGATCCACTTCACCTCGTCTGACCCCACCCGTTACGTACACACAGAGAGGTAACGCTGCACTGCCCCCTTGACACCCGGTGGCAATGCAGGTTACCCAACAGTGCGTGGTTTAACGCCTCTACACATGTATCGTAGTGTATAGTGTGGCTACGGTACCCCCCGTTGAACTGTGTTCCCACCGAGCGTCCCCCTTGCGCGACCCAACATACTGAACACGCGTCTCCGCGTGCGTGTCCGCTCCCCCGTCCCACCACCCTCCACGCCCCAGCCGCCGCGTGCGAGCTCGCTCCGCCACCACCGTCCTCGTGGTGCTCTTCGTGTTCCTCCTGTGCTTCGCCCCGTACCACGTGCAGCGCACCGCCCTGCTGCACTCGCAGCCTTACCCCGCCTACGCCCTCGCCACGCTGCCACCGCTGCCACCGACGTCACCACCTCGATCCTCCTCCTCCTCCGCCTCCTCCGCCTCCTCTCCTCCATTCACCTCACCGCATCCTCAACCGTCTCCTCCGCCACCACTGCCCTCCTTCACCTCCTTCTCCTCTGCCACCTTCTCCTCCGCCACCTCCTCCTCCGCCACCTCCTCCTCCTCCTCCGCCACCTCCTCCTCCACCACCTCCTTCACCACCTCCTCCTCCGCCACCTCCTCCTCCTCTTCGTCGTCGTCCGCCTGCGCCCGCCTGCGGCGTCTGCGAGCGAGCGCCATGGCGTCGCAATGCCTGGCCGTGCTCAACAGCTGCCTGGATCCCCTCGTCTACTTCTTCGCCGGGGACCACTTCCGCCGCCGCCTCCTCCTCATCCTCCGCGCCTGGGGGGCCGGCGGCGGCGGCGGCGGCGGCGCAGCTCCGCCGGCCTCCTCCGCCTCTTCCGGCGGCGGCGGCGGCGTCGGGTCGGCGCTGGCGTTCTTCCGCTCCGCCAGGCGGAGCCGCGCCAGCGCCGGCGGCGGCGGCGACGAGGACGGCGATTACGACGACGACGACGACGCGAGTGGAGGGGCGGCGGCGGCGACGGCGACGACGGCGGCGACGGCGGCGACTTGTTCGTCGCAAGCACGTCAAGCCTCCGGCGGCGGACGAGGAGAACGGAGCGGAGGAACGGGAGGCGGAACGGAGCCGGGGACGGAGCCGGGGACGGAGCTGGGGACGGAGCCGGAGCTGGGGACGGAGCCGGAGCCGGGGACGGAGCCGGGGACGGAGCCGGAGCCGGGGACGGGGCGCGCCGCGGGTGACGGCACGGGGACGGGTGCCGGGGGTGGAACGGAGACCGGACGCACCGCGGGGGGCAGAACGGAGCCGGGGACGGGGAGAGAAGCTGAAGCCGGAACGGAGCCGGGGAGAGGCGGAACGAGCGGGGGGGCCGGGATTGGATGCAGAGACGCGGCCGGCACGAAAGAGGGAAGAGTGGCGGTCGCCGGCGCAAGAGAGGATGACGATGACGTGTTCCTGTGACGGTTGTGATTGTCGTCGTCATCACCACCGTCGTCATCATGTCCTCGTCGACACTGACACCATCACCGTCATCATCACCACTTTCCATCACTAGCGTCGTCACCAACATCACGATCATCGCCATCATCACCATCATCGTCATGTCCTTGTCAACATTGACACCATCACCGTCATCACCACAACCACTATCACCGCTAGCGTCGTCACTGTTATCAACAGCACCGTCATCGTCACCAACATCACGATCATCGCCATCATCACCATCGTCATGTCCTCGTCGACACTGACACCATCACCGTCATCACCACAACCACTTTCTCCGCTAGCGTCGTCACTGTTATCAACAGCTCCGCCATCGACATGACCATCATCACTATCGTCGTCACCACCACCACCACAATCATCTTCACCATCACGAGCATCTCCACAGCCACTTTCCATCACTAACGTCGTCACCGTTATTAAAAGCACCATCATCACCACCATCGTCACTACCATCACTATCGTCGTCAGCATCACAATCACCGTCGTCATCTTCACCATCACTATCATTGTCATCATCTTCACCATCACCATCATCGTCAACATCTTCACCGTCACTATCATCATCTTCACCATCATCATCTTCACCATCGTCATCACTACCACCATCATCTCCACCACTATCATCGCTAGCATCATCACTGTTATCAACAGCACAATCACTATCACCACCATCGTCGTCACAACCATCACCACCACCGTCACCACCACCATCGTCACCACCATCACTATTATTGCCATGATTTCCACCACCATCACTAACATTGTCACCATTATCGCTGTACATGTGTACACATGAAGCTTTGAGTGTTTAATACCATTTATAACGACTGTAATTCATGTTAATTTCGCACTTTTTATGGCACATTTGATGCCATGTTTTTAAATCGAAAGCATGTCGCGTGATACAATGCCATTAATTAAACGCATATATTCCCTTATGCAATGATACATTGTCAATAATTAATCTCATATTCTAATTTACCCAACCATTATGCAACACCACATATCACGAACAATGCCAACTGTGTCACCATTGTATGTAATATATTGCCACTAAGTGAACATGTGTAATATCATTTCAGTGCCACCGGTTTAAATAAAATAACGTTACTATCATATCTCCACCCCTCTTAATTTGACACGCACACAAGACAAAGATCCCCCGCGTAGCCTACACAAACCGCCGGGGCAAGTGCTGTTTGCGAGCAGCACTAGCTAGGCTGTGGACAGCACCACACCGGCCCGGCCGCCTTTGTCTCCCCTGTGCTGATCTTTACACGCACCGCACCAGGTACCACTAATTTACGGTTGGGTCGACCTAGGGGATGCCCAAGACTTGGCTGATTTTAGATTTAATCACTGGTGCTGGTGGTGGCAGGGCAGGGCGCTAACCACTGCACCACCGCTCCCCAAAGGTCCCCCGTGTAGCCTCTAACAGACTGCTGGGGCAAGTGCTGTTAGTGGCGAGTAGCAGCAGCATCTGTGAAGGTAGACACAGACAAAGATCCCCCGTGTAGCCTCTAACAGAATGCTGGGGCAAGTGCTGTTAGTGGTGAGCAGCAGCAGCATCTGTGAAGGTAGACACAGACAAAGATCCCCCGTGTAGCCTCCAACAGACTTCTGGGGCAAGTGCTGACATGTATCACACAAGGGGGTGGGCGACCAGCACAACGCCCGGCCGCCTTTGTCTCCCCAGTGGCGATGTTTACTACACATCGCAGCAGGTACTCATTTAAGGCTGAGTCGACCTAGGGGAGGCCCTGGGTCGACTCGTCGCTCGTGTTGGCCATGAGAGGGAATCGAACTCACACACACAAACGTACACATACGTACACACACACGTACACAACAACAACCGCCATTCGCCACTACGTGGCGGTGACGTCACCACGACGCTTGTGCCAGGCTGTGCACCCTGAGGCCACGTGAAGTGTCGAACGCCCGCTGGCAGGAGGTCACGGGGCAGACCCAGGTGCCACGGGTCGACTGGATGAGATGACTGGCTGATGCACCACCTGTGCCCCCTACTGTGCCAACCTGCTGTGCTTTAGCCACCCGGCGCTCCGCTCGTTGCTGTGAGCGTCGCTCCTCCGCCCTCCGTTGTTGTTGGAGAGCGACTACCTCCAACTGCCCAGTAGCATCCTTCACGAGCCTCCTCCACAGAGGCCGATCTTGACACCGCTGGTACCAGTCATCGGCAAGTCCACTCAGCTCCACGTCCTCCTGTACCACATCACTCCATCTCTTCTCTAGCCCGTGCCGCGCCCGCTTTGCCCCCTCAATCCGGCCGAACAAAAGCTGTTTCGGCATGCGGTGGCTGGGCATGCGGGCTACATGACCCAGCCATCGCAGCCTTGCCCGCCGGAGGTGCTCACCGATGGGACCTTGCCCAGATCTTTCAAGGATTTGTGAGCTCCTCACACAATCCAGTCTGATTAAACCCAGGATGGATCGTAGGCAGGCCAGCCTAAATGTTTCTAACCGGCGAAGATGTTTCATTAGGGGGGTCCACGTTTCGCAAGCGTAGAGAAGAGAGGGAATGACCGTGGCCGAGAAGACCTGAAGCTTAGTGCGGAGCGACAGCCCAGGTAGCTTCCACACAGCGTTACGCAACCGATGAAAAGATATTGCCGCTCGACTGATTCGGAGACCTCTGCTGTTAAACTGGAGCCAGTCATAAGCACACTGCCCAGGTATGGGAAACTCTCCACTCTCTCCACAACTGCCCCATCACCGATTGGGAGTTGTGGGGGTGGAGTGTCCGATGGTACAAAATACCCAGGCAGGTGCTTAGTTTTGGTGGGGCTGATTGTAAGGCCCCACCTCTTAGTGGCACGCTCCAGTCTCAGCAGCAGCGTCTCCAACTCCTGTCCGGCAAAACAACCCCCTACCTCCTCGCGGTGCCGGACGGGCAATTCTGTCGTGGACAGTGCTGTGGGGGGAGATCCAATTTTGATTGGCTCCTCCCCTCATGGCATATGTGTCCACCACAGGGGCTAAACGGGGGCTCTGGACGGGTGCGAGGGGCTGGTAACCCCTCCACCTTCAATTAATTACCACGAAACCACGGGTTAAACACACGTACACACACACACACGTACACACAAACATACACACACACGCACACACTCACGTACACACACACGTACACACACACGTACACACACACGCACAATCTCCTGCCAGCACCTTCGCCGGCAGGAAGTTTCACAACGTCCACGCCAACCGGCGGCTCTCCGCAGCGCATGCGCGCACAGCAGCAGCGGCAGCGGCGACATCCTCACCGCAAGCGCTCACAGCCTCACGCCCACCAGGGTCTCACGATGGCCGAGATGTCCACCCCGTGTTTCCGTGTCCCTCCAAGTCCACGCATCGTCCTCCCTCTCCCCCGTGTCTCTGTGTCCCCGTATTCCCGTGTCTCCTCCGTGTCTCCCTGGTGTCTCCGTGTCTCCGCGTCCCCGTGTCGTCGTCCGCCCCATCCACCCGGCGTGTCTCTAGAAGTCCACGCATCGCCCCTTCCTCTCCCCCGTGTCTCTGTGTCCCCGTGTCTCCGTGTCTCCCTGGTGTCCCCGTCCACCCGGCGTGTCTTTAGAAGTCCACGCATCGCCCCTTCCTCTCCCCCGTGTCCCTGTGTCCCCGTGTCTCCGTATTCCCGTGTCTCCTCCGTGTCTCCCTGGTGTCCCCGTGTCTCCGTGTCTCCCTGGTGTCCCCGTCCGCCCGGCGTGTCTCTAGAAGTCCACGCATCGCCCCTTCCTCTCCCAGTCCCCGTAGCGTGTGGGCTCAGGGCCCCTTGGGCCCCCCCTCTCCCCCGTGCGGGGGTTCACGCCCCCCGGGAACTCTGTGGGAACACAACGGTTGGGGGGAGGGGGGGGGCATGAGGTCAAGGGGTCGCCACGTTGGCTAGGAAATGTTAACTACCTCGCCTGGTACACAGGAGGTCGTGGGTTCGATCCCGACCCTGACGCCTGCTGTATATTTGTGTGTGGTGAGATGTTAACTACCTCGCCTGGTGTGCAGGTCGTGGGTTCAATCCCGACCGTGACGCCTGATGCTGTTTATTTTGAGTTTGCGCCTCTTTCTCTCCAGCTTCTCCAGTTTTTCCCCTCCACACGTTTAGAATATTTGGTTGCTGCTATAAATTTCCACACGATGATGACGATGATATCAGCCACTTCGTCGAGGTATAATTTAAGATGGCACAAAAGAGTTACATAGCTCAGTGGGGGCCTTACCTGCTCAAATATAAATAGTTTTAAAATTGTTTATGTGATTGCGTTGTAGCGTTATGAGTGTTGTGTACTGGTGTTGTTTTGTAGCGTCGTTTAGTAACATTGTTTAGTAACGTTGTTTAGTAACGTTGTTTAGTAACGTTGTTTAGTAACGTTGTGTAGTAACGTTGTTTAGTAACGTTGTTTAGTAACGTTGTTTAGTAACGTTGTTTAGTAACGTTGTGTAGTAACGTTGTTTAGTAACGTTGTTTAGTAGCGTTGTTTAGTAACGTTGTTTAGTAACGTTGTTTAGTAACGTTGTTTAGTAACGTTGTTTAGTAACGTTGTTTAGTAACGTTGTTTATTAACGTTGTTTAGTAACGTTGTTTAGTAACGTTGTTTAGTAACGTTGTTTAGTAACGATGTTTAGTAACGTTGTTTAGTAACGTTGTTTAGTAACGTTGTTTAGTAACGTTGTTTAGTAACGTTGTTTAGTAGCGTTGTTTAGTAGCGTTGTTTAGTAGCGTTGTTTAGTAGCGTTGTTTAGTAACGTTGTTTAGTAGCGTTGTTTAGTAACGTTGTTTAGTAACGTTGTTTAGTAACGTTGTTTAGTAGCGTTGTTTAGTAACGTTGTTTAGTAACGTTGTTTAGTAACGTTGTTTAGTAACGTTGTTTAGTAACGTTGTTTAGTAACGTTGTTTAGTAACTTTGTTTAGTAACGTTGTTTAGTAACGTTGTTTAGTAACGTTGTTTAGTAACGTTGTGTAGTAACGTTGTTTAGTAACGTTGTATAGTAACGTTGTTTAGTAACGTTGTTTAGTAACGTTGTTTAGTAACGTTGTTTAGTAACGTTGTTTAGTAACGTTGTGTAGTAACGTTGTTTAGTAACGCTGTTTAGTAACGTTGTTTAGTAACGTTGTTTAGTAACGTTGTTTAGTAACGTTGTTTAGTAACGTTGTTTAGTAACGTTGTTTAGTAACGTTGTTTAGTAGCGTTGTTTAGTAACGTTGTTTAGTAACGTTGTTTAGTAACGTTGTTAGTAACGTTGTTTAGTAACGTTGTTTAGTAACGTTGTATAGTAACGTTGTTTAGTAACGTTGTGTAGTAACGTTGTTTAGTAACGTTGTTTAGTAACGTTGTTTAGTAACGTTGTTTAGTAGCGTTGTTTAGTAACGTTGTTTAGTAACGTTGTTTAGTAACGTTGTTTAGTAACGTTGTTTAGTAACGTTGTTTAGTAACGTTGTTTAGTAACGTTGTGTAGTAACGTTGTTTAGTAACGTTGTTTAGTAACGTTGTATAGTAACGTTGTTTAGTAACGTTGTTTAGTAACGTTGTTTAGTTTTTTTTTTTTTTTTTTTTTTTAGTAACGTTGTTTAGTAACGTTGTTTAGTAACGTTGTTTAGTAACGTTGTTTAGTAACGTTGTTTAGTAACGTTGTTTAGTAACGTTGTTTAGTAACGTTGTTTAGTAACGTTGTTTAGTACGTTGTTTAGTAACGTTGTTTAGTAACGTTGTTTAGTAACGTTGTTTAGTAACGTTGTTTAGTACGTTGTTTAGTAACGTTGTTTAGTAACGTTGTTTAGTAACGTTGTTTAGTAACGTTGTTTAGTAACGTTGTTTAGTAACGTTGTTTAGTAACGTTGTTTAGTAACGTTGTTTAGTAACGTTGTTTAGTAACGTTGTATAGTAACGTTGTTTAGTAACGTTGTTTAGTAACGTTGTTTAGTAACGTTGTTTAGTAGCGTTGTTTAGTAACGTTGTTTAGTAACGTTGTTTAGTAACGTTGTTTAGTGGCGTTGTTTAGTAACGTTGTTTAGTAACGTTGTTAAGTTACGTTGTTTAGTAACGTTGTTTAGTAACGTTGTTTAGTAACGTTGTTTAGTAGCGTTGTTTAGTAACGTTGTTTAGTAACGTTGTTTAGTAACGTTGTTTAGTAACGTTGTTTAGTGAACGTTGTTTAGTAACGTTGTTTAGTAACGTTGTGTAGTAACGTTGTTTAGTAACGTTGTTTAGTAACGTTGTTTAGTAACGTTGTTTAGTAACGTTGTTTAGTAACGTTGTTTAGTAACGTTGTTTAGTAGGCGTGTGTTAGTAACGTTGTTTAGTGGCGTTGTTTAGTAACGTTGTTTAGTAACGTTGTTTAGTAACGTTGTTTAGTAACGTTGTTTAGTAACGTTGTTTAGTAACGTTGTTTAGTAACGTTGTTTAGTAATGTTGTTCAGTAACGTTGTTTAGTAACGTTGTTTAGTAACGTTGTTTAGTAACGTTGTTTAGTAACGTTGTTTAGTAACGTTGTTTAGTAACGTTGTTTAGTAACGTTGTTTAGTAACTTTGTTTAGTAACGTTATTTAGTAGCGTTGTGTAGTAACGTTGTTTAGTAGCGTTGTTTAGTAACGTTGTTTAGTAACGTTGTTTAGTAACGTTGTTTAGTAACGTTGTTTAGTAACGTTGTTTAGTAACGTTGTTTAGTAACGTTGTTTAGTAACGTTGTTTAGTAACGTTGTTTAGTAACGTTGTTTAGTAACGTTGTTTAGTAACGTTGTTTAGTAACGTTGTGTAGTAACGTTGTTTAGTAACGTTGTTTAGTAACGTTGTTTAGTAACGTTGTTTAGTAACGTTGTTTAGTAACGTTGTTTAGTAACGTTGTTTAGTAACGTTGTTTAGTAACGTTGTTTAGTAACGTTGTTTAGTAACGTTGTTTAGTAACGTTGTTTAGTAACGTTGTTTAGTAACGTTGTTTAGTAACGTTGTTTAGTGGCGTTGTGTAGTAACGTTGTTTATTAACGTTGTTTAGTAACGTTGTTTAGTAACGTTGTTTAGTAACGTTGTTTATTAACGTTGTTTAGTAACGTTGTTTAGTAACGTTGTTTAGTAACGTTGTTTAGTAACGCTGTTTAGTAACGTTGTTTAGTAACGTTGTTTAGTAACGTTGTTTAGTAACGTTGTTTAGTAGCGTTGTTTAGTAACGTTGTTTAGTAACGTTGTTTAGTAACGTTGTTTAGTAACGTTGTTTAGTAACGTTGTTTAGTAACGTTGTTTAGTAACGTTGTTTAGTAACGTTGTTAGTAACGTTGTTTATAACGTTGTTTAGTAGCGTTGTTTAGTAACGTTGTTTAGTAACGTTGTTTAGTAACGTTGTTTAGTAACGTTGTTTAGTAACGTTGTTTAGTAACGTTGTTTAGTAACGTTGTTTAGTAGGTTGTTTAGTAACGTTGTTTAGTAACGTTGTTTAGTAACGTTGTTTAGTAACGTTGTTTAGTAACGTTGTTTAGTAGTTGTTTAGTAACGTTGTTTAGTAACGTTGTTTAGTAACGTTGTTTAGTAACGTTGTTTAGTAACGTTGTTTAGTAACGTTGTAAGGTTGTTAGTAACGTTGTTTAGTAACGTTGTTTAGTAACGTTGTTTAGTAACGGTGTGTAGTAACGTTGTTTAGTAACGTTGTTTAGTAACGGTGTTTAGTACGGTTTGTTTAGTAACGTTGTTGTAGTAACGTTGTTTAGTAACGTTGTTTAGTAACGTTGTTTAGTAACGTTGTTTAGTAGCGTTGTTTAGTAACGTTGTTTAGTAACGTTGTTAGTAACTTGGTTTAGTAACGTTGTTTTAGTAACGTTGTTAGTAACGTTGTTTAGTAACGTTAGTGTAGGTAACGTTGTTAGTAAAGTTGTTAGTAACGTTGTTTAGTAACGTTGTTTAGGTAACGTTGTTTAGTAAACGTTGTTTTAGTAACGTTTTTTAGTAACGTGTTTAGTAACGTTGTTTAGTAACGTTGTTTAGTAACGTTGTTTAGTACGTTGTTAGTAACGTTGTTTAGGTAACGTTGTTTAGTAACGTTGGTAGTACCGTTGTTAGTAAACGTTGTTTAGTAACGTGTGTTTAGTAACGTTGTTTAGTAACGTTGTTTAGTAACGTTGTTTAGTAACGTTGTTTAGTAACGTTGTTTAGTAACGTTGTTTAGTAACGTTGTTAGTAACAGTTGTTTAACGTTGTTTAGTGACGTTGTTTAGTAACGTTGTTTAGTAACGTTGTTTAGTAACGTTGTTTAGTAACGTTGTTTAGTAACGTTGTTTTAACGTTGTTTAGTAACGTTGTTTAGTAACGTTGTTTAGTAACGTTGTTTAGTAACGTTGTTTAGTAACGTTGTTTAGTGGCGTTGTGTAGTAACGTTGTTTATTAACGTTGTTTAGTAACGTTGTTTAGTAACGTTGTTTAGTAACGTTGTTTAGTAACGTTGTTTAGTAACGTTGTTTAGTAACGTTGTTTAGTAACGTTGTTTAGTAACGCTGTTTAGTAACGTTGTTTAGTGACGTTGTTTAGTAACGTTGTTTAGTAACGTTGTTTAGTAGCGTTGTTTAGTAACGTTGTTTAGTAACGTTGTTTAGTAACGTTGTTTAGTAACGTTGTTTAGTAACGTTGTTTAGTAACGTTGTTTAGTAACGTTGTTTAGTAACGTTGTTTAGTGGCGTTGTGTAGTAACGTTGTTTATTAACGTTGTTTAGTAGCGTTGTTTAGTAACGTTGTTTAGTAACGTTGTTTAGTAACGTTGTTTAGTAACGTTGTTTAGTAACGTTGTTTAGTAACGTTGTTTAGTAACGTTGTTTAGTAGGGTTGTTTAGTAACGTTGTTTAGTAACGTTGTTTAGTAACGTTGTTTAGTAACGTTGTTTAGTAACGTTGTTTAGTAGGGTTGTTTAGTAACGTTGTTTAGTAACGTTGTTTAGTAACGTTGTTTAGTAACGTTGTTTAGTAACGTTGTTTAGTAACGTTGTTTAGTAACGTTGTTTAGTAACGTTGTTTAGTAACGTTGTTTAGTAACGTTGTTTAGTAGCGTTGTTTAGTAACGTTGTTTAGTAACGTTGTTTAGTAACGTTGTTTAGTAACGTTGTTTAGTAACGTTGTTTAGTAGCGTTGTTTAGTAACGTTGTTTAGTAGCGTTGTTTAGTAACGTTGTTTAGTAACGTTGTGTAGTAACGTTGTTTAGTAATGTTGTTTAGTAACGTTGTTTAGTAACGTTGTTTAGTAACGCTGTTTAGTAACGTTGTTTAGTAACGTTGTTTAGTAGCGTTGTTTAGTAGCGTTGTTTAGTAACGCTGTTTAGTAACGTTGTTTAGTAGCGTTGTTTAGTAACGTTGTTTAGTAACGTTGTTTAGTAACGTTGTTTAGTAACGTTGTTTAGTAACGTTGTTTAGTAACGTTGTTTAGTAACGTTGTTTAGTGACGTTGTTTAGTAACGTTGTTTAGTAACGTTGTTTAGTAACGTTGTTTAGTAACGTTGTGTAGTAACGTTGTTTAGTAACGTTGTTTAGTAACGTTGTGTAGTAACGTTGTTTAGTAACGTTGTTTAGTAACGTTGTTTAGTAACGTTGTTTAGTAACGTTGTTTAGTAACGTTGTTTAGTAACGTTGTTTAGTAACGTTGTGTAGTAACGTTGTTTAGTAACGTTGTGTAGTAACGTTGTTTAGTAACGTTGTTTAGTAACGTGTTTAGTAACGTTGTTTTAGCACATTGTTTAGTACGTTGTTTAGTAACGTTGTTTAGTAACGTTGTTTAGTAACGTTGTTTAGTGGCGTTGTTTAGTAACGTTGTTTAGTAGCGTTGTTTAGTAACGTTGTTTAGTAACGTTGTTTAGTAACGTTGTTTAGTAGCGTTGTTTAGTAACGTTGTTTAGTAACGTCACTAAGTAACATCGTTTAGTAACGTTGTTTAGTAACGTTGTGTAGTAACGTTGTTTAGTAACGTTGTTTAGTAACGTTGTTTAGTAGCGTTGTTTAGTAACGTTGTTTAGTAACGTTGTTTAGTAACGTTGTTTAGTAGCGTTGTTTAGTAACGTTGTTTAGTAACGTTGTTTAGTAGCGTTGTTTAGTAACGTTGTTTAGTAACGTTGTTTAGTAGTGTTGTTTAGTAACGTTGTTTAGTAACGTTGTTTAGTAACGTTGTTTAGTAACGTTGTTTAGTAGCGTTGTTTAGTAACATTGTTTAGTAACGCTGTTTAGTAACGTTGTTTAGCATCGTTGTGTAGTAACGTTGTTTAGTAATGTTGTTTAGTAATGTTGTTTAGTAATGTTGTTTAGTAACGTTGTGTAGTAACGTTGTTTAGTAACGTTGTTTAGTAACGTTGTTTAGTAACGTTGTTTAGTAACGTTGTTTAGTAACGTTGTTTAGTAACGTTGTTTAGTAACGTTGTTTAGTAGCGTTGTTTAGTAACGTTGTTTAGTAACGTTGTTTAGTAACGTTGTTTAGTGGCGTTGTTTAGTGGCGTTGTGTAGTAACGTTGTTTAGTAACGTTGTTTAGTAACGTTGTTTAGTAACGTTGTGTAGTAACGTTGTTTAGTAACGTTGTTTAGTAGCGTTGTTTAGTAACGTTGTTTAGTAACGTTGTTTAGTAACGTTGTTTCGTAACGTTGTTTAGTAACGTTGTTTAGTAGCGTTGTTTAGTAACGTTGTTTAGTAACGTTGTTTAGTAACGTTGTTTAGTAACGTTGTTTAGTAACGTTGTTTAGTGGCGTTGTTTAGTAACGTTGTTTAGTAACGTTGTTTAGTAACGTTGTTTAGTAACGTTGTTTAGTAACGTTGTTTAGTAACGTTGTTTAGTAACGTTGTTTAGTAACGTTGTTTAGTAACGTTGTTTAGTAGCGTTGTTTAGTAACTATGTTTATTAACGTTGTTTAGTAACGTTGTTTAGTAACGTTGTTTAGTAACGTTGTTTAGTAACGTTGTTTAGTAACGTTGTTTATTAACGTTGTGTAGTAACGTTGTTTAGTAACGTTGTTTAGTAACGTTGTTTAGTAACGTTGTTTAGTAACGTTGTTTAGTAACGTTGTGTAGTAACGTTGTTTAGTGGCGTTGTTTAGTAACGTTGTTTAGTAACGTTGTTTAGTAACGTTGTTTAGTAACGTTGTTTAGTAACGTTGTTTAGTAACGCTGTTTAGTAGTTTAGATAATAGAAATATTAAATTATCCCAAATACAACTGTCAGCAGTAGCAGAACACGCTTGCCAACAAGGACACTCATTTGATTTTGATAATGTTGACGTTCTGTGCAAAACTAGCTAATACTGGCCAAGACTAATTAGAGAATCTATCAAAATTTAAAGAAATAAAAATAATTTTAACCATTCGGATAGCTACCGCCTTAGTGCTGCGTGGAAGCGAATCATCAAATAATACATTGTTTAAATGCAAGCCTATAAAGGGCAGCGTACTTCAATAGGGATCAAGCTAGTTGTAATTACTGGCAAAACGTCGTACTCAGGTTGTAAATGTTGTGGCTTGGCTCTCCAACACATCGGTGTGCTGTACTAGTACACTATACACTACACTATACACTCAACTATACACTACACTATATACTACACTATACACTAGTGCTGTACTAGTACACTACACTATACAATACACTCAACTATACACTACACCTTATACTACACTATACACTAGTGCTGTACTAGTACACTACACTATACACTCAACTATACACTACACCTTATACTACACTATACACTAGTGCTGTACTAGTACACTACAATATACACTAGTGCTGTACTAGTATACTACACTATACACTACACTATACACTAGTGCTGTACTAGTACACTACACTATACACTACACTATACACTAGTGTTGTACTAGTATACTACACTATACACTACACTATACACTACACTATACACTAGTGCTGTACTAGTATACTACACTATACACTACACTATACACTAGTGCTGTACTAGTACACTACACTGTACACTACACACTACACTACACTATACACTAGTGTTGTACTAGTATACTACACTATACACTAGTGCTGTACTAGTATACTACACTATACACTACACACTACACTATACACTACACTATACACTACACTATATACTACACTATACACTACACTATACACTACACACTAGTGTTGTACTAGTATACTACACTATACACTACACTATACACTAGTGCTGTACTAGTATACTACACTATACACTAGAGGTGTACTAGTATACTACACTATACACTACACACTACACTATACACTAGTGTTGTACTAGTATACTACACTATACACTACACACTACACTATACACTACACTATACTAGTATACTACACTATAGACTAGTGCTGTACAAGTATACTACACTATACACTACACTATACACTAGTGCTGTAATAGTACACTACACTATACACTAGTGTTGTACTAGTATACTACACTATACACTACACTATACACTAGTGCTGTACTAGTATACCACACTATACACTACACTACACACTAGTGCTGTACAAGTATACTACACTATACACTACACTATACACTACACTATACACTAGTGCTGTACTGTTGACGAATTGGCACATTTCTGTTAGCGTGACAACCCTTACTAGTTGGCTGTGTCGGGTGGTGGCGGGTTGCAACAACACAACACTTATCTATTTACGCGATCTAACCCCCCCCCCAAAAAAACCTCTCTACGATGGCCGTTTAGCAACGTTGTTTATCAGCGTGATAGCGTTGCGTCGCTGGTGCTGACAGTGCGAGGAGCGTGCCGCTTACTCTCCAGGGAGTCACCGTCACCACCGTCGCCGCCTGTTGCTCCGGCCTTCTCCTCCTCCGCCGCCTCCCCCTCCGCCCGGTCCAGCCTGCCGAGGGGCGTTCTCGGTTTGCGCGGGGGGGCAGGGCCCCCCGGCTCTCGCTGCGCGGAGAGTGGACGGCAGAGAAGCACGGGGACCAGCGGGCGCCCCCCGAAGACTGTACGCACAGAGACAAAGGTCCCCCGTGTAGCCTTAACAGACTGTAGGGGCAAGTGCCGTTAGCGGCGAGTAGCAGCAGCACCTGTGAAGGTAGACACAGACAAAGATCCCCCGTGTAGCCTCTAACAGACTGTAGGGGCAAGTGCTGTTAGTGGCGAGTAGCAGCAGCACCTGTGAAGGTAGACACAGACAAAGATCCCCCGTGTAGCCTCTAACAGACTGTAGGGGCAAGTGCTGTTAGTGGCGAGTAGCAGCAGCACCTGTGAAGGTAGACACAGACAAAGATCCCCCGTGTAGCCTCTAACAGACTGTAGGGGCAAGTGCTGTTAGTGGCGAGTAGCAGCAGCACCTGTGAAGGTAGACACAGACAAAGATCCCCCGTGTAGCCTCTACAGACTATAGGGGCAAGTGCTGTTAGTAGCGAGTAGCAGCAGCACCTGTGAAGGTAGACACAGACAAAGATCCCCCCTGTAGCCTTAATAGACTGTAGGGGCAAGTGCTGTTAGTGGCGAGTAGCAGCAGCACCTGTGAAGGTAGACGCAGACAAAGGTCCCCCGTGTAGCCTCTAACAGACTGCAGGGGCAAGTGCTGTTAGTGGCGAGTAGCAGCGCCTATGAAGGTAGACACAGACAAAGGTCCCCCGTGTAGCCTCTAACAGACTGCAGGGGCAAGTGCAGTTAGTAGCGAGTAGCAGCAGCGCCTGTGAAGGTAGACACAGACAAAGATCCCCCGTGTAGCCTCTAACAGACTGCAGGGGCAAGTGCTGTTAGTAGCGAGTAGCAGCAGCACCTGTGAAGGTAGACACAGACAAAGAACCCCCGTGTAGCCTCTAACAGACTGTAGGGGCAAGTGCTGTTAGTGGCGAGTAGCAGAAGCACCTGTGAAGGTAGACACAGACAAAGATCCCCCGTGTAGCCTCTAACAAACTGCAGGGGCAAGTGCTGTTAGCGAGCAGCACCTATGAAGGCTACCGGCACTGTGGCACACGAGGGGGTGGGTGGCCAGCAACCACGCCCGGCCACCTTTGTCTCCCCAGTGGGTGGCGATGTTGAGTACACACCGCTACACCAGGTACTCTCACACACACATACTGGTCACCGTTACCCTTTGTACAGATTACAGCACATGCCTGCGACAAAGAGAGGAGCACGTGGATGAGAGACCACACGCAGGCGAGAGACATCACCACCACACTGATGTTTCATCCAGCAGTGGATAGACCCTGGCTGCTGCTGCACATGATGTCATCATGAAGTCATTGCGTAGCACAGTGAGCACAACCAGCCATAGGGAACACCTCCACAGCCTGACATCGCTGCAATCGGCTGACACGAAGACCGCTCTCCGTGTGTGTATCGCTCGTGGTGGCTGTGAGATGTTGACTACCTCGCCTGGTGTGCAGGGGGTCGTGGGTTCGATCATCATCATCATCAGGGTGGCTAGGAGATGTTAACTACCTCGCCTGGTATACAGGAGGTCGTGAGTTAGATCCCGACCCTGACGCCTGCTGCTGCTGTATATTTGTAGTTTGTGTGTGTCTCTCTCTCTCATCATCTTCATCACGGTGGCTATGAGATGTTGACTACCTCGCCTGGTGTGCAGGAGGTCGTGGGTTCGATCATCATCATCATCAGGGTGGCTAGGAGATGTTAACTACCTCGCCTGGTGTGCAGGAGGTCGTGAGTCCGATTCAGACCCTGACTCCTGCTGCTGCTGTGTATTTGTAGTTTGTGTGTGTCTCTCTGTCTCTCATCATCTTCATCACGGTGGCTAGGAGATGTTGACTACCTCGCCTGGTGTACAGGAAGTCGTGAGTTCGATTCCGGCCCTGACGCCTGCCGCTGCTGCTGCTGTATATTTGGAGTCTGTGTCTAAAGTCTCTCTCCCCCGTGGTAGCGTGGATTTGTCTCTCTCCGAGTCCTAAGGCTTCCCACTCCACATTCATCAGACTCAACATCACCACGCGTCCAGAGGATGCTCCCACTGCTGTAAAGCCACCAACTTCGTTACCTTTCGTTTAAGATATCCAGGCCGCTTGAGAAACAGCGCTACACATCACCTCAGTAGGGCCTTGCCTGGGAACACAACTGCGTGCAAAAATCTAGAACTTTACACACTTTGTTAATAATTATGTACACTATTAAATAACTCTACACACACACTCAGCGCGTTGACGAGTCTCTCTCCAGAGGCCCGGAACGATTTTTTTCGTTCCGCTTCGGTCGCAGCCCGGACGACAACGCGCGGACCTCGACCCGAGCCTGAGGCCTGGCCAACAACAACCACCACAACAACCACGACAACAACAACAACCACCACAACAACCACAACAACCACGACAACAACAACCACAACAACCACGACAACAACAACAACACCAACAAGTCGACCCCGCGCGCCTCTGCCGCGACTCACGCGAGACGCCCCGGAGACAGCGAAGGGAAGCAGCAGCGGCCATGGCGGTCGTTTGTTTGGAGGGTGAGGGGCGGGGCGTGGGAGGGATGGGGGCGGGTGGTGGGAGGGGCGTGGGTGGGAGGGGCGTGGGGGTGGTGGGAGGGGCGTGGGGGTGGTGGTAGGGGCGTGGGGGTGGTGGGAGGGGCGTGGGGTGGTGGGAGGGGCGTGGGGGTGGTGGGAGGGGCGTGGGGGTGGTGGGAGGGGCGTGGGGGTGGTGGTAGGGGCGTGGGGGTGGTGGGAGGGGCGTGAGGGTGGTGGAGGGGCGTGGGGGTGGTGGGAGGGGCGTGGGGGTGGTGGTAGGGGCGTGGGGGTGGTGGGAGGGGCGTGGGGGTGGTGGTAGGGGCGTGGGGGTGGTGGGAGGGGCGTGGGGTGGTGGGAGGGGCGTGGGGGTGGTGGGAGGGGCGTGGGGGTGGTGGGAGGGGCGTGGGAGTGGTGGGAGGGGCGTGGGGGTGGTGGGAGGGGCGTGGGGGTGGTGGGAGGGGCGTGAGGGTGGTGGGAGGGGCGTGAGGGTGGTGGGAGGGGCGTGGGGGTGGTGGGAGGGGCGTGGGGGTGGTGGGAGGGGCGTGGGAGTGGTGGGAGGGGCGTGGGGGTGGTGGGAGGGGCGTGGGGGTGGTGGGAGGGGCGTGGGGGTGGTGGGAGGGGCGTGAGGGTGGTGGGAGGGGCGTGGGGGGTGGTGGGAGGGGCGTGGGGGTGGTGGGAGGGGCGTGGGGGTGGTGGGAGGGGCGTGGGGGTGGTGGGAGGGGCGTGGTGGGAGGGGCGTGGTGGGAGGGGCGTGGGTGGTGGGAGGGGCGTGGGGGGTGGTGGGAGGGGCGTGGGGGTGGTGGGAGGGGCGTGAGGGTGGTGGGAGGGGCGTGGGGGTGGTGGGAGGGGCGTGGGGGTGGTGGGACGGGCGTGGGGGTGGTGGGAGGGGCGTGAGGGTGGTGGGAGGGGCGTGGGGGTGGTGGGAGGGGCGTGGGGTGGTGGGAGGGGCGTGGGGTGGTGGGAGGGGCGTGGGGTGGTGGGAGGGGCGTGGGGGTGGTGGGAGGGGCGTGGGGGTGGTGGGAGGGGCGTGGGGGTGGTGGGAGGGATATCGCAGCAGCACATTTAACGTACAGCGGGAATGAATCCGATCGATGGCTGCGTCATCGCCCCACACGTGTCGAATTAAAAGCAAGGGACAACTCCTTACTTACTAACAACTACTTACTTACTAACAACTCCTTACTCACTAACAACTCCTTACTTTTTGATTTAAAGCTTTCGTGACTGCAGTAATTCATATTCTTAGTTTTTTCGGTAAAGTCACGTTGAAGAGAAACAACAAAATAACAAAATATATATAAAACAATAAAAAATTCTCACGACGTTTCGACCATAACTCAAACGGTCATCATCAGGTGTGTCGGTTTGCATAAATTTATTTTGAAAACGGCATATTTATTTATTTATATAAAAATAACGTTTGCGTCACGCGCAACGATTGGCTGTTTGCCAGGACTAGTCCATCTATTTTTTGAAAAGAGGAGGGGGGAGACGAAATTTGTTTTTATGTATGCTGTCTGAAAGCCACTGTAAGCGTGAACAATCAATCAAGAACTGAAATGATTTATCAAATCTTTCCAATGATTGCTAAGATAGAATCCATCTTCTCGGTTGAAATTGTCTCTGTGTTTGTATATGTGGATAGCCTCATGAACGAATCTCTCATGGAAGCCAGATGGCTTACAAAGAACCTCCGTCTTGGAAAAGTCAATGGCATGTGAGCCTACTGAATTAGAACAATGATCTGCTACGGCCGAGGTGTTGGTCCTACCGTGTTTAAGGTCTGCTTTATGTTCACGAATGCGGTCCGAGATATGGCGTTTGGTTTCTCCAATGTAACTACTACCACAGAGGCAACTTAGTTTGTAGACACCAAGGTATTGTATGTCCGGAATCACATCTTTTACAGACGGAACCAGATCACGGATTTTATGTAATGTGTTGAAACGGACCTGGATCTTGTGTTTATTCAAGATTTTGGAGATCTTTTTTGTGATCCCAGAAATGTAGGGTAAAGTGATGGTTTTGAAAGGCTCCTCAAGAGGGTTCTTCTTCATGGTTTGAGTGATAGCTTTGCGGATTGTATAGTCGGAGTAACCATTAGCCCTAAGAGCTTGGTGTACGTGCTTGAGTTCACTGCTTATGTGTTCCTGGTCGGATATGCATTGGGCTCTATGATACAGAGTCTTGATGAGAGAATTCTTCTGTGATGGATGGTGGTGGGAATCCGGTTTCAGATAAGCATCCGTATGGGTAGCTTTCCTGTAGACAGAGTGGCTCATTGAAACATCAGGTCTCTTTTTAATTAGGACATCCAAAAAAGGTATCTTGCCATCTATTTCGACTTCCATGGTAAATCTGATGGCTGGGTGTATGGAATTGATGTGGTCGAAGAATTGGTCTAGAGCAGGCCGGCCATGTGGCCAGATGACAAAAGTGTCATCCACGTACCTCTTCCATAAGGTTGGGCGCAGAGTGGCAGTCTGGATGGCGTCAGTCTCAAATTTCTCCATGAAAATGTTAGCTATAACTGGAGAAAGGGGGGAGCCCATTGGGGTGCCCTCAGTTTGTTTGTAGAAAGTTCCATTCCAAGTGAAGTATGTATTGGTTAAACAGTGTCTCACCAGGGGGGGTACCTCAGTGTTTAGTCCTTGATGAACCAAGTCTTCAATGATTGCAATGGTGTCAGGTACAGGAACCTTGGTGAATAAGGAAACTACATCAAAACTGACAAGCAGGTCGTCTGGGGACAGGGAAATACCCTTGATTGTTGATACCAGGTGAGTAGAATTTTGTACCGCAGAGGTGGTCTTTCCAGTGAAAGGACGCAGGATTTCAGACAAAAAACGAGCTAGTTTGTAGGTGGGGGAGCTGATAGTAGAAACTATGGGACGAAGAGGTGTATCAACTTTATGTATTTTTGGTAAGCCGTATAATCTTGGTGGCCTGGCAGCAGAAGGTTTCAACGAAAACTGTTTAGATTGATCAATTAATGCGGTTGAATCAGAAATTATTTTGTTGGTTTGTGTGACGAGGCTGTTGGTGGGATCTCTTTTTATTTTTGTATAACTACCATCGTCGAGTAATTCTTTAATTTTGTTGTTGTATTCTATTTTATCCATGATAACAGTAGCATTGCCTTTGTCATTGACGGCAATAATGTCCACATCGGATTGGGAACATGTAGACAATATGACTGCCTCTTCAGCTGCTACTATGTCGACCAAATGTAAGGAAAACCTGATTTCCAAATTTAACCTCCTCTTAAACAAAAGACCGGACCCACACACCAAAAAGTTAGACGTTAATAAAGTCGTAATTAATCGCAGTAACAGTTCTATTTCCGATGGTCTGAAATCCGTTTTAGCTAAAGGTCTAAACTTTGCAGTCACACCTAAACACATACCAGTTAATGATATAATTGCCCAAGTAGACGTTGCTCTCAGGGGCCTGGGTCACATCGCTGCAGACGTAGCAAGATCTGAAATCGCTGCAACCCTCAAAAACGCTAAGATGCCAGCTAGCAACCTCAGCAAAGATGAGCGTTTTGAATTATATAAATTAAAAAAGAGGAATGATATTGTAGTTCTCTCAGCTGACAAAGGCAATGCTACTGTTATCATGGATAAAATAGAATACAACAACAAAATTAAAGAATTACTCGACGATGGTAGTTATACAAAAATAAAAAGAGATCCCACCAACAGCCTCGTCACACAAACCAACAAAATAATTTCTGATTCAACCGCATTAATTGATCAATCTAAACAGTTTTCGTTGAAACCTTCTGCTGCCAGGCCACCAAGATTATACGGCTTACCAAAAATACATAAAGTTGATACACCTCTTCGTCCCATAGTCTCTACTATCAGCTCCCCCACCTACAAACTAGCTCGTTTTTTGTCTGAAATCCTGCGTCCTTTCACTGGAAAGACCACCTCTGCGGTACAAAATTCTACTCACCTGGTATCAACAATCAAGGGTATTTCCCTGTCCCCAGACGACCTGCTTGTCAGTTTTGATGTAGTTTCCTTATTCACCAAGGTTCCTGTACCTGACACCATTGCAATCATTGAAGACTTGGTTCATCAAGGACTAAACACTGAGGTACCCCCCCTGGTGAGACACTGTTTAACCAATACATACTTCACTTGGAATGGAACTTTCTACAAACAAACTGAGGGCACCCCAATGGGCTCCCCCCTTTCTCCAGTTATAGCTAACATTTTCATGGAGAAATTTGAGACTGACGCCATCCAGACTGCCACTCTGCGCCCAACCTTATGGAAGAGGTACGTGGATGACACTTTTGTCATCTGGCCACATGGCCGGCCTGCTCTAGACCAATTCTTCGACCACATCAATTCCATACACCCAGCCATCAGATTTACCATGGAAGTCGAAATAGATGGCAAGATACCTTTTTTGGATGTCCTAATTAAAAAGAGACCTGATGGTTCAATGAGCCACTCTGTCTACAGGAAAGCTACCCATACGGATGCTTATCTGAAACCGGATTCCCACCACCATCCATCACAGAAGAATTCTCTCATCAAGACTCTGTATCATAGAGCCCAATGCATATCCGACCAGGAACACATAAGCAGTGAACTCAAGCACGTACACCAAGCTCTTAGGGCTAATGGTTACTCCGACTATACAATCCGCAAAGCTATCACTCAAACCATGAAGAAGAACCCTCTTGAGGAGCCTTTCAAAACCATCACTTTACCCTACATTGCTGGGATCACAAAAAAGATCTCCAAAATCTTGAATAAACACAAGATCCAGGTCCGTTTCAACACATTACATAAAATCCGTGATCTGGTTCCGTCTGTAAAAGATGTGATTCCGGACATACAATACCCTGGTGTCTACAAACTAAGTTGCCTCTGTGGTAGTAGTTACATTGGAGAAACCAAACGCCATATCTCGGACCGCATTCGTGAACATAAAGCAGACCTTAAACACGGTAGGACCAACACCTCGGCCGTAGCAGATCATTGTTCTAATTCAGTAGGCTCACATGCC